ACGAACGTTACTGTCACTTCGTTTTTTGATTCCCTACCGGCTAGCACCATCGTGTGTCTAAGTATTGTATATTAATTGTAATTATTGTACTAGTTTTTTTGTTGTTATAGTTTTAGATTGTTGTGTGGTTTTACTTTTATTTTTTTTTATTTAAATTCTTATAGACTTACCACACTGAACTTTATTTGTCTATAATCTAGACGGATAAAGTTATAGATAGTATATAGATAAGATAATATTATTATCTTATATGTATATTTCAAGCAACGTAAGTTACGTTTAGGTATGTATATAAATACTGGAATAAACTACGACCTCTTTTCCACGTTTCATACGTTTCCATACGATGAAATATAGGTTACCTTCCTATGTTTTCTTATTATGGGGTTGTATTATTTTTTTTTATGATAGAGGACAGATCAAAATGGGGTTTACTTATGCTGTGTGAAACATCCAAGCCATATAACACCTAAACAAGATGTGCTATCGACCTATTTTAACTTTGGATATTCCGATTAATCATGACTCAATGAGAACGGGATTGCTGACCGTACTTTATAAAGCGTTCACCTCCTGAATTCAGGCGTAGGATGAAAAATCTAGCTCTTACGTTCGTCTAACAATTTTCATGGCTTGTTTATGATCTAGATTGTAAATGTTTATCGAATTTTATGGCGACGATGAAAACTATCGACTAAATAACCGCTTTCCTCGCGCCTTAAACCGAGGACTTAAAAACAAACCGACTTGGTGGAAAAAAAATCGATATACAAAATACCGTTTAAATGAATGTCTGAACTGTTTATTCTGAAATTGATATTTTAGATTTATAAAAATCAATTACGCGGGCTGGCTTCGAACGCACGACAACGTCGTTCCGTGCACCAGATCTACCCATTGAACTTTCGTGAAAAAAATGTTTAAAACAGCAAATTACAATACTCCAATTAGATTAAATAATTTCGCTGCTTTTAGAAGAATATTAATGTGTGGTTCGTTATGCTGTTGCTAAGCAACAATGCTTAGCAACAGGACGTTAATTTTATTTCCCGCCTATTTTTAAATGTAACGTCACTTGTCACCATTTTTGGAAGCATTGTGTCAGCTTAGGATGGCGTCATAGACAGTTACCCTATTAATATTATTCCGATGTGAGTACCACAGAATTTGTTTAATTAAATTTTCACGTAGTATTTGTATCAACCATCTTAAAGTAAAAGGTTGAAGTTTAACTAATATTAAGTTATATTCAATTTAAATACTGTTACGCGAGTAGTACACGATTAAATAAAACAGTTTAACGGATTTTAACTTTGCAAAGTATCAGAAATGTCGGACCGTAGTTAAAAATATTTTTTTAAACAAGTTTAACTAAAATACATCGCGCTTTAAACCGTCTAAGTGTTTTATTTAAATATATTCAATTTCTTTAGTAGGTAATTTTTTTGGAAAATTGTATATCAAAGATTTCAAATAATGTATTATGTAATACATACATAATACATTATTTGAAATCTTTAACATTTTTCACATGTTTATGCACATGATGGCAATATTATATAGTGATTATACATTGAAAAATGTACGACACGGGCACTTGAACAGCGTCCACAGCGTTTTGTGCTGTTGCTGTAACCTACTCGGCTATCGTACACGTCATCGACGATTTTTCAACCTATTGATACATGCACTCTCGCGCAATGTCATTACAACCTTGTCATTATTATTTCCATATATTATAGCACAATGACAAATTTGAATGCATTTTGATTGATTTCAGAACAGGGCAGGAGTTGGTCTTTACTCGCTTTGAGTTTTAGTGCCGCTCGTGCCTAAAACGATTTTTAACACATACTATCTTTAATTTTCAACATTCACACATTTATTCCTTGTATAAACTGTAGTAGTCACTGAACAAAACTGTCAAAATTATTATTTCCCATTTAAGTATTTAATTAAATGCACAAAGGAATAAATCATAGCTTTAAATCGTACATGCATATTTCATATTAACGAAGTTATGAATTATTTTCCCGTTTTCCTCACAAAACACTTTAACGCGAATAATAAACAGCATTTCTATTTCCTACACGTCATCCTTTATTTATAGTCTGTTAAAGTCGATTGTAGTACAAGAGCTGATTGCTTTTTTGGTGGTTAAAATTTTTTTACTAATAAATGTTTTGAGCTAGGCAAGTCCTTTTACTTAAATATGTTACTTTAGAACTAAACCGTGCGCTTTTTTATGACCTTCACATACAATTGACATTTTGATTAAATAATATAATGGCTATAAATAATTTGATAATATCTCCAACATTTACTAATGATACGCGAAATTTGTCAGATTCTAAGTGTAGAATTTCGAAAGTTAGCAAAGTAAAATTGAAGAAGTGCGTTTCAAAATTAATCTATGACTATTTGTCTATAATTAATCGCGAGTAGTACACATTTAATTTAAACACTTTTATTGTTTAATACGCGAAATATATTTGTTAACTTATTTTTTATAATACATATATATTTTACAATGATCCGACGTTTTAGAATTTTGCAACCACTTCGAAATAAATAAATTATACTTAAGTTAGCGCATACTTTATAACCGTTATGAGTATGTTATACTTAAATTTAATTATTAAGACTTAGATTATTTAAGATTGCAATATTTTAATTAAAATAACTTTGACGTGCTTTATGAATCAATCTCTCAGACTATTTGTATGTTAATAGTTGTACCAGACGCGTTGGCGTCTCGCGATAGGAAGCGCGTCGACTTTTTGCAAACAATACGCGATTTGAATGTTTTACAACATTGAATGAGGGCTATGATGGATGAAGTAACGTTCTACAAACAGATAGCTGATTATTGTATGTTTATATCATTCATGTTTGCAACAAATATACTCACTCTGCTGGTCGCTTAACAACATTTTTGGTACTCACTCAGTAGCTCAATGTAACGGTTTAAAACGCGATATATATTAGTTAAAGTTACTTGAAAATTATTTTAACTACGGCTCGACGTTTCGGATGCTTTGCAGCAGCCATGGTCAGAGTAAAAAAAGAACCAATTTCAAAATAGATTTGACCAGCAATAAGTATAGACGTAGATAAAATTTAAAATTGTACTAGCATTATAACAATGGAGCGACACAAGAGAAAAGCAAATAAGGAATATTTGCCGAAATCAAAGTCAAACAACGCTGCAAATAATGGAATTGTGTTAGACAAACACACAAAATGTGACACTACTTAGAACCTGTATGCTATCATAATATGATGCCAAAATTACAACCTTAAATGTAGATGGATGTTTAAGAAAATATTAAATTAGGTGAAAGAAGAATTAAAACACGAAGAACGAGAAGGAAAATACCGAATTTACAGTTACGTCAGTTACTTCTAACGACCAACGTTAAAAATAAATTGAAAATAAGTTAACTAATATTTTTCGTGTTTTAAACAGTTAAAAACCTATACTTTGTATGCTACTTTATGTATTTATATAGACCAATTTTGATGATACCCAACCAAAAGGAAGCTATTTAATTTAACGTAACTTAAGTTAAGTGTTAGTTAATTTTATTGATTTTTTAATACTTAATGAAGTTATGGTTTAGTCAATACTATATTAACCACAGATATCCAATACAATAGTTAATGAGCCTGACATTGTAAGATGAACTTGGCATTACAAATAGCTTGTTCCGGAGGATGGTAAAACGATCTGCGCCTGCGCAACGTCCGAGTGTCAATTATACAACGATACAACGACTGTTTGTGCTGGCATTCAAAGGAAGTGTTAAAAAAAAACAAAATAACTCGTCAGCAATACTTGATAAGAAATAAAGTTAGACATAAGAACTACATCATACAAAGGCACTCGAAGTCACGACCTATATATTTTTATATTAGGTTACATTCATATCATCGCCTTTAATTAAGTGTTCCTGGCCACTTTTTAATGAGCTTAATACTATCCCACGGGATAAAGCAGGCATTCTGATAGGCCCAAGACACAAAATCTTCTTCATTTGTAGGTAGTACGTAGTTCCCAGTAAAAAAAACATACAATACTAATACTTCTAATCAACACTAATTACTATTTTAAACTCTTCTAACGTTTGAAAACTTTATTATGTCTTACATGTTAGTGCTCTATATAATTTAAAAATCGAAAATAAAATGAAACATTTTTCGACTCGGGCTGGACTTGAACCGGCATCGTCAGCGTTCCGTGCTAGTGCTCTATGGACTCGGTAGCTCAATTGGTAATTAAACTTCTCATTCTAGTGTGTATAAGTTATTTCAAAAAATAATTACTCTTACTGATTAAACAAGCAGTTATCTTTAATATTTGTACGTACACGTTTATTTTATCAGTATTGTATTCGCAAAAAGCTAATAAACAAAGTACGACTAAGGAAAAAAACGCCTTTAGGAAAACATAGTAGCCAAAGATTTGTATAAAACCTGCAACGTCACGCATAATATTTCCTTTACAATACAATTATCTTATTTTAAATAGTAAGCAATATGAATTTATGAAGAAGATAAGAAAACGCTATCTCTCGTGACATACGCCATTCTATAAAGATGTTATCGCGCTGAAGCTCGGCGGATCACCGCTCTATCAAAGTATTTGATCAAAAACCAAAATAAATAGTCCATCAAAAGCGTTATTTCACTATTAGACGATGTAATTGGTCGGCGTTTGAGATGTTCCAAGAGATATATGTCGCTCTTATCGGGAACATCTTGTCACGTCTGGCTTGTAAACATTTTTGGAATGATTTTAACTTAATAATATATATATTGTTCTTTGGAAATAAAGGAAAAGCGTTTTTCTTCTTTATTTTTCGATATTATATTAGATTAAAATTTCTGGTTAATATCGAACATTAAAACAAGCACAGATCTGTGTCCGCTTTAGCCACTGAAAGTAGAGAATGAATTAGCCTTAATACTATACTCATTGATATGTTTTCTCTTTTCAGATCGCTGCTTGTGGCAGCCATCTTTTTAAGTAATTGCATATCATGGACGATAGCGAAGCATCATTATTCACACAATGTAAGTTTTTTGCTACTACATACTTGCCTTATTTCCTTATTCCTTTATCAAAGAACAGTTTCATTTGCTGCTAGCCTGGTAAATCTGCTGACGTTTTTTTATTCTACAGAATAACAAAGTAGTGTTTCGTCGTTGTTTTAAAGCTAAAATCTAACTTATCATTGGTTCGTTTTGAGTACGGATTTAGAAAAATTCCTTCTTCCCTTTCAAGTAATACATATATTTCCTTGAAATTTTTCTAGATCATTCACCTCTTTTCGCCGTGACTTACCGCGCTCGTAAATCACCATCTAACAGCCATCTAACGCCCGCGACTAAAAATGTGTCACTATCATAGAAATAACGATAAATCAATTTTCGATCATTCATTCTGTATCAATACGCAATACAATGTTGAACGTGAAGTGACTACATTAAACAATTTTCAAATAAAATAGGGAAGAACTAGAACAGAGATCGATAAAGTTTTTTTGTTCTTAATGTTTAACTTAAAATAACTTTTATAACTCCACTCGATCGCCTACTATGCGTATGCGCTAGAATTTATCATTCTAATCGCTTCACACAGCTTACCAGCCTAAATGAATCTAAAAAGCTCCTGAAAATGGAAATTCTCTCTTAGGTACTGGATTCGGAGATTAGAGTCTTGATGATATAAAAGCGCTTTTTATTCAAAGTATACAATGATCTTTTATATCTATTTTTTGCGGAAATTACATTATAAATTTATAAAAATTCACGTTTTTTGTTCTCAGATAAAGTTGAGATCGAGTCCATATCTTTCAAATATAATAATTATGTCTCAGATTTCGTGTTCATATATATGCAAGTACACTTAGAAAATTGTACTCACCTACGCATTCCCACGGATCGGGACGAGATACGCCGCGGCGTCAAGCTAGTCATAAATTAAAGGCCCGGGTAATAATAACAACATTGGAATTACTTTCGATTTCGTGTAATATTACGAAGCACGTGGACGTCTCAGCGTGAGACGAAACATTTACAACATTGAACTTGAAGGGGATAGGGCTGAACAACATTATCATTATTATTGGGATATTAATTATTTTAACAAAATATTGTATGTACAGGGAACTATACAAGTGATCTTACTTTAAAAAAATCCGCTTAACCGCTTCTTCTAATCTGCACTTAATGATTGCCTCAGTAGATATATGGTTAAACATGTCTATGTTAAGCACGAGAGATCATAGGTTCCGATTCCGGGGAGTCGACTGTTTTGGTCGGGTAGGACCGAGAAATCTGAATAATCTGATCTGAGTGTCACTAGTAACTGAGACTGAAATGTGTTCGCCCCATGGCCCACGAGGGGAAACGGTATTTCACTGTCTGCACATGAATTTAAAAAATCATTTAAAATATAACCAACATTGTATTGTTTTTATATTTTAATTTCATATAAATTTAAATAGGAAGATATTTATGACACCGGCGAGATCCAAACCTACGACCATAGCCCTAATTTACCAATTGAGAGCTTAAACAGACTATTTACACCATTTATTATTAACCATACGGAAATGAAATACACAGTTAAATAAAACACTTTAACGGGTTAAAACGCGATATATTAGTTAAACTTATTTGAAAATGAGTTTAACTAATATATCGCGTTTTAAACCGTTAAAGTGTTTTATTTAAACATATGAGAATGATTTTGAACAATTTATTATTTCTAGTCAATGGCAACCCTGGCGATTACTAATTGATGTCTCTAAAATAATCATAAATCCAATCAGGCGCCACGAATTGATGGGTCCGTTGGCATCGCTAGATCGGGGTCATCACCTCATCACCAAATATTAGACGTTCCTTCATTGTTTTATTTTGGGACAATAGTCTAATTACTTCGTGCGAACACAATGAGTAGTTTGAATATTTATAGCCGGGATACACCAGCAGTTGGATAGATTACAATTTAAATAATTCAATGTTTCAGTTAGCAATTGCTCAAATCTATTCAATCATTATAATTTTGGACGGGCTCGTCGGTTTAAGGTAGCAGTGTAATTTGGACTTCGTCGGGAAATCTGGATATTTAAGTGGCTGGTAGGAATATCGAAACTCCGTCCAAGTCTCCACCGTCCACAGGTGAAAAGGGCGCGTTTCGGTTTCAGTCTGTGGATTTCCGAAATTTCCAAAGCCAAAATAGGTCTCCCATCAAGCGACAGACAAGGTTCCATGCTTGTCTGTCATCTTCTATCGTTAGAAAAATCTATATATAATATAATAATATTATATAATTTGTTGTAAAATACGAGTTAACGATACCCGTTAATAAAGTATTTTGGCTGAAAGCTCCTTTTATACTTAAAATAGATGTTTATAATAGAATCAAAGTGACTGTCCGAAATGATTGTAGAGCAACAGGTGCACAAGCGCAGAAGCAAATAATACGCCTTCAGACACTTCAGAGCTAATGCAAACACGACTTGCTAACGAGTTTGGGGCCACAAAATATCTGCCAGCGGTTAAGCAGTTTAATCTAAGCGATAAAAACTTTTCAACAAATGCGTACCCATGACAACCGTAGTGCAGTGATAAAACATTATCGTTCTCTTTTTGTTCAACGACTTTACGTTTGTCTTATTAGTAGTAAAAAAATAAACTGTATATAGTAGTTTAGTAATCCAAAAAAGCTATTTTTTAGATTTTAAGTAGAAATTTTGTATATTTTTCTTTTTCAGAGAGAGTAATACTATATTTTCATGACTACTTGCACTAATTCAATGATCAATGGTAAAACTCTTTTGCATTGCGATTAAAAACAGAGGTCCTGGGTTTGAATCTCGGCGAACAACACATTGTATCGGTCAGACTTACATTACGGCTGATTTGAACTTCTTGCCAGTACATAAAATCGATCAGTAAAACAAACAAAGAAATGTATGACGTCCTGTTCACAGGAGGAAACGGAATTTCAAACACACAATATTAAAATCGCCTAATATATTGCGAGGATAATCCGCCCGTTTAAGTAATATATCATCAAACAGCAACCTACCATTCCATACTCGTGAATCGCTTAAGTGGTTTATAATGATAACATTAAATGTAGTTTTCCCGCGCTGACAAGTACTACCACAGAATATCTAAAGGATAGGCATAGACATCTAGAGTATTTGTTTTCATAAAGGACTCCGCGAATTGTATTGAATCTTTTTAGGGAAGCGTTCTCTTTACTTGTCTGTGATTTTGCCTAAAATATACTCTGTTACATTTCTCAGACAATATGTTTCAATGTAGTCCTATTTTAATGTTAAATTATAATTTTTTTTTATATAATATAGGCATTGATTATTCTAAAAGACGTATATTTATTATATAAAGGTACACAGTCATCGCACGCGGCATAGGCGGCAAGGCGCAGGTCTCTTTCTGTCAGCTTCTTACGTGATCCCCGGAGGCGAAGGCGCCGGTGCTTGGAGTGATTGGGGAGACGTCTCACCGTGCTCCAGAACATGTGGTGGCGGTGTGGCCAGCCAGAAGAGAATATGTTTAGAAGTTGGGTAAGAAACATGTTTATTATCTGTTATTTTTACCTGATAGATCTTAAGGATTTAATATACATACACTAAAAGAGTATTTAAAGAAATGATAACACAGTCGAGACTCGAACCAAATATGAATGGACCACTTTATCACTGGGCATTTTTTACTTTATCGTATATATATTTCGGTCCCGCCTGTGGTAATTTTTTTTTTGTTGTCATGAAATATGTGTTTTTTAATACTTTCCCTCTACTTCCAGACCAGATGGCCGACCACGATGTTCTGGAGGGGACACGAAATATTTTTCGTGTCAGACTCAGGACTGTCCGGAAGGTTCAGACGACTTCCGGTCTGAGCAATGCGCGGAATTCGATAAGGAACGGTTTAAGGGAACGCAGTACAAGTAAGTACTAAGGCAGCATGAATATTGAAGAAGCTTTCCTTTATGAAATTAAAACTTATTATTTTGTATATGGGGTTGTAGCTTCTTTATGATAGAAGAAGTCAGTGAAGAGGTTCGCTTGATGCAAGGTGAAATACCAAGGTTACAACCGTCCTACTTTGGTTTTGGATATTCGAAACGCAATCTTCACGGCTTTTACATCTGTAGACCGTGGTTCGTGACCCTACCAGAAAAAATATAAATTTATTTGGAATATGTTGGACCCGGTGGGGATCGTGGCCACAAACTGTCGTTTACTTGCCCATACATTGATTACTAAAAAAAATTTTTTTCTTACTCCGAAATATTGCTTCATTTAAACTGGCATGCTACGTCGGCCAATGAAGATGGAAAATGATAAAACGGACATACCAAGGCAACATAATTTTATCAGAGTGATATCAGGCATATGCATAACTTTCCTTCCAGTTGGGTCCCATATACAAAGGCACCGAATCCTTGCGAGCTGAACTGTATGCCGCGAGGAGAGCGTTTCTACTACCGCCATAAATTGAAGGTAGTTGATGGAACACGCTGTAATGAGGAGTCTTTCGACGTGTGCGTTGATGGTGCCTGTCAGGTTAGTATCATCACTATCACCATATCATCGTTATCATGTTTATAAACTATAATGTTTATAAATTAGTCGTTTAAGAAACGTACGCTTAGGCACACAAAAATTTATTCATACTTACAGCTTAAGAACGGCTATGTCGGTTGTCATGGATTTTGCAGAATAAAAGAGGTTCTGGATTCTTGAAAAACAAAGGAAGAAAAAGCATTTTCCCCCATTTTAATTTTATTGTAGATACAAGCTTAATTAATAGACTTCATTATCTTAAAAAGAGTTTAGATGTATTGTCCATTCATTGAGTAAGTTACAATTTACTCAAGTAGTACACATTATACTATAAAACACTTATAGCGGTTTAAAACTCGAAATGTTCGTCACGTGGTCACGAAGAGGCTGTTGCTAAAAATACACGATTTGAACCGTTAAATATCTTTTATGGTTCTTATGTATATTTGGATTTTTTAAATGTAAATTTCAGCCAGTCGGCTGTGACATGATGTTGGGCTCCAATGCAAAAGAGGACAAGTGTAGAAATTGCCGTGGGAACGGTACCAACTGTTACACGTCCAGTGGTATCATTGACACGCAGGAACTCCGTAAAGGTATATAAGCTACTTAAACTAAAAATGTAGTACGTAAACGTTACTCTAGTGAAATTCAAGTGCAGTGGCAGACAAACGGACACATTTTAATATAGAAATTGGTTATAATTCTGCACCTCGCCTATAAATTATGTTTCCCGGAACCCAGAACCTTTCCGCAATGGATTTTGTCGGAAATAGTGACAACGTAATCACATAGTGTCGTATTTGTAGTATTAAGAAGGAATAAAATTAATTATATATTTTGTGAGTTGAATATTAAGAAATATATTTTTTTGTTAATTAAATGTATGTATATATTTTGATTTGCAGGATACAACGATGTTTTATTTATACCTCAAGGTGCAACAAACATCATCATTTCTGAAGTCAGGTCTTCCAATAACTATTTGGGTAAATATCTCTTTTCAAGTCTTCTTTTAGTTCTATTATAAATTGTCATATTTACCGAACTCTTAAAATAATTGTTTACTTTGATTATGTGTTAAGGTGTTCTTATTATTTTCATCAGCTCTTCGATCGCAGCAAGACAATGTCTACTATCTAAACGGAGACTACCACATAGACTTTCCTCGAAGCTTGCCCATCGCTGGTTCGTTATGGTACTACGAGAGAAGTCAGCAGGGATTCGCATCGCCAGACAAATTGCGCTCCTTGGGACCGACCACTGAACCACTATATTTATCTGTAGGTTACAAATTTCTACCAATATTTTTTGCGGTACAGATTAAAAAGTCACTAAAATGTTAAAATTTCATGATTACAGCTTCTTCTTCTTGAAGATAACGTGGGCGTGGAATATGAGTACAGCCTACCATCATCACAGGCGCCACCTCCTAACCAGCAGTACAACTGGGTTCATGGAGGGTTCTCCCCTTGCAGTGCTACTTGCGGTGGAGGCAAGTACAAATCTGGCCCAGGAGAAATTGATAAACCCATGATGATGATCAATGCTGTTCTTTATTAAATACCATTTATGTTACCAGGCATTCAGACACGCGAGGTGACTTGCCGCTCTCGTGAAGAGCTCGATATAGTAGACGATAGTCTGTGTGACAGCGGACTCAAACCGCCAACTAACGAAACTTGCAACGACGTTCCCTGTCCTCCAAACTGGGTTGAAGGTCCTTGGAGTCCATGCTCCAAACCATGTGGTGAAGGTGGTACTAGATCACGACAAGTGCATTGTGAGAAAGTGATCACTCAGGGGTAATGTCTGACAAAATAAAATATGTCTTACAAAACTAAAACTCCTTTTGTGCCTTTAATTAAACACCATAATATGTATGTGAATGAAATAACAAGGAGTATTCGATTTGGGTTTTCCACTGCTTTTCTAAGACACCCTTTTATTTTCTAGTTGTTGACCCTAACAAACTAGTTGTATGCTTCACTTTTAGTATTGCATCAATCGCCGCTGACAAGGAATGCTTTGATATTCTGGGACCAAAGCCTGAACTCTATCAAGAGTGTAACCAAAACGCGACGTGCCCCACGTGGTTTACGGGCCCTTGGAGACCGGTAAGTACTTATATTATTATAGATATTTCAGACAGGGCAAATTTATTACGTAATGAGATTTTTAATTATAACGCCGACAAAATAGACTATATAAATATATACAGTATAGATTATAGACATAGAATATGTCGAAATTTAATTCTGAAAATCTACCTTCAAAGCATGTATACCTCATGTCATGTTAAAAATTCGATGGTGTAATTCGTGTTTCTTATTTATCATTTAGTTAGTAGTCCGTTTTATATACTTGTTAATAAATAAATGGCACATGGTTTTCCAGTGTGATAAGCTATGCGGTGAAGGCAAGCAGATACGGCAAGTGGTATGTCATCAAAAGATAAACGGTCGAGTGGAAGTATACGATGATGGGAAGTGTGCTGATGAAAAGCCGCCAACAGAACAGCCCTGCATTCTGCATCCTTGTGACGGAGTCGACTGGGTTCTTAGCGAATGGACTGGGGTAGGTTTTGTTATCTACTAACACCTCAAATACTAAAAGACACCTCTCTTGAAACAATATATAAATTTTGTATAAGAGCAAATTATTCTACTATGTAAATTAATACTTATTTTTTACGTTTTTTGTACACCTAAGTTTGAGAGGTTTTGCGAACAAGAATAAATAGATAAATCGCATATATTTAAATGCTTTTTTTCTTATTTTGCAGTGTGACACTTGCACATCTAAAGTACGAGCTCGAGTAGCCCAATGTGCAACAAAAGACTATCAAGTGGTAGATTCCAGTCTGTGTAGCTACCATCCAGCACCGGTGCTAGAAGAACCATGCGATCCAAACAAACTACCTGCTTGCGAGGTCTTGTGGTATGCGACACAGTGGAGTAACGTACGTACTTGATTATTTATCATTTCTACATATGAGCTAACTGGTGGTCTCCACTCGGTGTAGCATTGGGTCTTCCAGTCGTACACTGCATTCGAGAACAGGCTCGGGTCAAGCTGTACAAATTGCAAAGCGATTTTCAACAGGGGCTCAATTTACAAGCACAAGGCACTTAAATACCACAAAATCAGGTAGATGGGATTACAACACAATTTTAAATAAAAATTGTTCTTCTAAATACAAATTCCTACAGTGGCGATGTTGAAATTTAATTAAGTCACTTTCAACCGTTTGAAACGCGAGATTTATCAGTTAAACCCATTTGAAAATTATTTTTACTTCGGCCCGACGTTTAGGATGCTTTGCAGCAGTCGTGGTGACGGGGAGACACGGAAAAAGTTTTATAAAATTTCTTTTTTTTATTTTCTTTACATTTTTTAATTTGATAAATAAATGCAACATAGTTAACATTATACAATATACTATTTGACTAACCTAGAATAAAAATTGAATTTTGTATCCACAGTGTTCCGTTGAATGCGGAAAGGGTAAACAGACCAGGCGAGTGTTTTGCGGTCGCTTTGATGGAGCTGGTGTAACAGTTGTCGACGACGAAAGGTGTAACAACCTGGTCAAGTACAATGATACGAAGGAGTGTGAAATTCCTAAAGAGAAGTGCCCAGCGAAGTGGTTCGCTGGACCATGGACAGAGGTATTTCTTTTTTAACACAAAAACCGGGTTTATATTAAATCTATGTCCACGCAACATAAGAGGGAAAAATATAAATAATATGATATAGAAGGATGTCACAGCATCAGTAGGGTCGGTTATTTCAGTCTGTATAAAGTAAAATAAAATATACTTTATTCTCTTCAATATTAAAAAAAATATTTAGATATTTTTTTTTCGTTTGTCTGTCTGTTCGTCATGTTTCTACAGAGTGTTCAAAAGAGTAACATAACTGAGAAGAACACCCAACAAACTCAGTCCGGCTTTTTTAAATATGTCTTATAAACTAATACATTTTTGTAAATTTATTAACAGGGTCAATTCATATTACTGCCAGGCGGTCTTGTCATTAAAGAAATCGTTCAGACAACACGCCTTTTGAGACAATTTACATTTTAAAACTTTTTTTAAATTTATTTATCGATAAATTTGACACCTCAACTGGCAATGTATTGTTTAGTACATACAAATACAATTCCCCGCAAATGAATTAGATATTTTATGGAGCCTATATTTGGGGATAGCTAGGTCATCCTTATTTCGTAAGTTCAAATTATGCCTATCACTATTCTCGCTAATCTTGCTTTTATTCTTATGGGCATACAATACATTTTCATGAATATACTACGAGTACACAGTAAGTATGCCGATATTTTTAAAGGTATCTCTTAATGACTCCCGAGATCCCATACCATAGATAGCCCGGACCGCCCTTTTTTGCAACACAAAGATACATTCAATGTCGGCAGCGTTACCCCACAGTAGTATGTCATATGTCATAACACTGTGGAAGTAGCTGAAGTAGACTAGACGCGCTGTTTTAATATACGCATAACATACCCCTTAATGATTACAGTTCTGCCATATAACCTACCTTACTTAGTTGCTATGGCGTAAATCTGTAGTAGAGCCCGTAAGCTTACAAGTGTTAAATTTATACATTCTCAAAAATAACATTTACTTTAAACAAAATGGCCTTGTGTTTGTTGAAGTGACAGGTACTTATGTATATTTTAATTTTTAGTGTACGAAGGAATGCGGTGGAGGAGAACAGTTCCGACGAGTGAAATGCCTAAGTGGTGGAAAGATATCGCTGGACTGCGATGAAGAGTCCGTACTTGATGCTACACAGGCTTGTAACGTAGGACCTTGTGATAAAGGTATACACTTTTATAAATAGTCATTCTAACGTAATTCAATAAAGCTTACAATTTATATAGTTCGGCACAGACGGCGAATTACTTTCTAATCTGTAAGGAAAGTGACGAAACGTTCGTAATAATAAATTACCTTTTTCCCTATCTCGTGCCATTCAAAGCATTTTCTTATTTAGTTTTCATTTATGCATTTCAGATGAACTACTTCCAACTAACGCGAAATCAACACCGGTTATGGATGATGACTCAGATTATGAAGATTGCGAAGAAGACGATTATCCAGAAGAAGGAGCTGAAGAAGGAACCGACAAAGACGTTCCTGAAGATGTTTCCGCTGAAATGATATCAAACAAATTTACTCTGGTACGCTTAATACAAACCCATAAAATTTAATGAAAGCTCTAAAAGCATTATAAATGTTAATGTTTTATTTTAAATCTAATGTCATTTATTTATTTCACAGATACAAGACAGTGACTTCATTTATGGTGAGCAACCTTTAATTAAAGAACTTAGATGCCAAAATAAAAATAATCATCATAATTGTTTGTACCTAAAACGTACTTTTAATTAACACAGAACACATTTTTCTACAGAACCCACTACATCAAGCGGAACATTTGATTCGGATTCAACGGAAACAGGTAAAAGATCGTTTAAATAAAACACTTTAACGGTTTAAAACGCGATATATTAGTTAAACTTATTTGAAGATGATTTTTAACTTCGGCCCGACGTTTCGGATGTCTCCCCGTGACCACGGCTGCTGCAAAGCATCCGATACGTCGGGCCGAAGTTAAAAATCATTTTCAAATAAGTTTAAGTAATATATCGCGCTTTAAACCGTTAAAGTGTTTTATTTAAATGTGTACTACTCGCGTAAACTATAGACAGTATTTAGGTAAAAGATCGGTCTCGTTAGTATGACTTCTTTGTTTTTTTGAGTCCCAAACCCATAGTAGTTATAAGACCTTAATGGTATTAAATATCTTTCAGGATCTGGAGAAAGTATATTTACTGAAGAATCTGGTTCAGGCAGCTCAGAATTCTCAACCACGTTGGAGAATGAGAGTACTACAGGTAAATTGAATTATTAGATAATTTAATTAGCTAATGAATGATTGCCAGAACCATCTTTTGAGTTAAGAATATAACTATAGAGTATATTGATTAAACACACAAATATTTTGAAACAATATTACAATTATCTACATATAGTAATAAAATATATACTATACTATGTGTCTTGTACAAGGTAATATTTTTTTTCAGATTTTAGCGGCAGTACTGATACTACGGATACCGAAATTACTGGAAGCACAGAAAGTTCAAGTGTATCGGAAAGTTTAGGTAATTCATGTTAATAATAAACTTATTGTACAAACATATTTTTTTAAAGATAAATTCATTTAATTTGATATGATATTTTAGTTCCACATCTGATATGTCTAAAAATATATTTAAAATAGCAATAATAAATACATTTAAATCATATTCAAGTTTAGTGTTGTTAGTCTATTTAATTCTAATTAAACATTTTCCTGACAGAAACGAAAGAAACTGTAAGCACAGAAAGCGTGGGAACAGATTCGACTACAGAAGCGAACTCAACTGAGTCTTCGACGATCGTATCGACAGAGTTCACATCTGAAATAAGCTCGACTGTGAGTAGTGAAATAGACACTACACTGAAAATAGAAACAACAGAAAGTGGTGCGACAGAATCCACAAATCTTTCAGAAACTACTGAAGCGGCTACGACAGATTCCACAATTGATACTGAAGGTAGTGGAACGGAATCAACATTTTCGACAGAATCTACAGAAAGTAGTGGAACAGAATCAACAATTTCAACCGAAACCTCTGAGACTAGTAGCACAGATTCTACACTTGAAACAGAAACTACTGAAAGGGGTACAACTGAATCAACGCTTGAAACAGACACAACAGAAAGCGATGCTACAGAATCAACGTCCGAAGGGACAACTGAAAGCGGTGGAACGGAATCTACAATTTCATCAGAGTCGGTTTCAACAGATTCTACAGAAACCACTGAAAGCAGTGCAACTGAACCGACAATTTCAACGGAAACAACTGAAAGCAGTGCAACTGAATCGTCAATTTCAACGGAACCAACAGAAACAACAGCGTACGTTACAACTGAAAGTGAAGGAACAGAATCAACAACAGAGGCTGGCACTACTGAGTCGGTTTCTGACGGAAGCACAGAATCAAGTGTTTCAACTGAATCGACCATGTCTGAAAGTACTGAAACGGGATCAAGTACTGAAACTGATGTAACTGAAACCGCGACAACGGAATTTTCAAGTTCATCTGAAACAAGTGAAAGTGTAACAACAGAGACAGGTATGTTTATTATTTTTCTGTATATCATGTGTCTGGTGAGACTATTTATTGTGTTTCTTTCAAAGTTTATATTTATTTAAATAGGTTTGTACAGCACTGAGAGTACTAGTGAGTACAGTTCAACGAGTAGTTTTGACGATACGACTCCGTCTTCGGGAGATACAAGTAAGATAAATGCATTTACCATTTAAATAAAATTCTTTAACTATTTTAAACGGGTCATATTTTAGTTCAACTTGTTTGATAATTATTTTTAACTAAAATATATCACAATTTGAACCGTTAAAGTGTTTTATTTAAATGTGTACTACTCGCGTAAACTACAGACAGTATATGATTGTCTCTATTTCACAGCTTTATGGGACTGGAGTTCTACTGTTGAATTGTACACGGAGAAACCAAAATGCAAAGCAAGGAAACGCAAGTCAAAGTGTGTTAAAAGCAAGTTCGGATGCTGCCCTGATAGGAAAACTCCTGCTGCTGGTCCATTTGATGAAGGTATATGAACTTGAAGATGAATTTATTTTCACCAGTTAGTAGCCTCTGCCAGGAACTGTGTGCGAAATTTTTAATTACACGAAGTACAGAATAATGAATATTTATACTTTAGCGCTTCACATGTAAATCTTCTTTTATTTTTTAAATTTAGTTATGTTCATGTGTTTTAAGCTTTATTTGTTTATTGTAGTTATCAGTTTAGATGTTAATATATATTCTAAGACACCATGTTTTTCATACTACTAGGGTGTCCGAACCCAACGACGTGCAAAGAGGCCAAATTCGGCTGCTGTTTAGACGGCGTGTCTCCAGCTGAAGGGCCTCATGATAAGGGCTGCCCAGTACCACCGTGCAACGAAACCTTATTTGGATGTTGTAAATCAGATAACAAAACAGCAGCTTTAGGAAATGACCAAGAAGAATGTCCACCTCCTCCGCCAGCCTGCAAATCCTCGCCGTAAGTTCTTATATATTAAAGATGTATCGGAAGTTACAGAAGGGTATAAGAAAATACTACCATTAGATAATAGGTTAATTATTTTTAGAAAAATGTTTAAAGGTATATTTTACATTTAAGATTCGGCTGTTGTAAAGATAATAAGACGCAAGCCAAGGGGAAAAATAAAAAAGGATGTCCGGAAACTGGTAAGAATAGTTTATAACTATTTTTTTATTTCAATTATTTAAAATACATGTTTAAATATGTATATATTGAACTATTTCACAGAAATCAAAGCCACGACAATTCCTTCAGTTGAAACGTGCGATAATACGGAATTCGGATGCTGTTTTGATAACGAAACGGACGCAACCGGACCAAATGGAGAAGGATGTCCTTGCAGTATTAGTGAATTCGGTTGTTGTCCTGATGGCATTTCTACAGGTAGGACGAAAGTAACGGCAATTTTTAAATGCGCTGTAGTAAACGATAGTTTTTTCGTTTGTAACTTACTCTACTGTTTGAAAATTCGCTACTATTATTTTAATAGCTCAAGGACCAGACCTAGAAGGATGCGTCATGTCTTGTAACACATCAGCCTATGGTTGTTGTTCTGACGGCGAAACACCTGCACATGGGCCCGAGTATGAAGGCTGTTGCTTGCAATACGCCTACGGATGCTGTCCGGACAATTACAAACCTGCTGAAGGACCCCATCTGGAAGGTATCTCAATTATACTTGAAATATTGATTCCTATTTCCTCTTTGATTTAATCGTAAAATTAAAGTAATATGCTTTTCCAGGTTGTGGCTGTAAGTTTGCCCACTTCGGTTGTTGTCCAGATAATGTTACAATCGCTAGAGGTGCTAATAATGAAGGATGTGGCTGTCAATATAGCGAACATGGCTGCTGCCCCGATAGGTATGTGCTGGTGATATTTATATTAAAGTACTCAAATAGCAAATGTCGTTCATTACGTATTTTACTTTAGGCATACCCCAGCTAACGGCCCAGAATTCGAGGGTTGCGGTTGCCACACCTATCAATTCGGTTGCTGTCTTGATGGTATTACGGCAGCCACTGGTCCAAACTTGCAAGGGTGTCTGTGCCACCAAACTAAATTCGGTTGCTGTGGAGACGGTGTGACAGAGGCCAAGGGTCCAAATAAAGGAGGGTGCGATTGTTCCAATAGTAAACATGGCTGTTGCCCCGATGGAGTAACTGAAGCTGCGGGCGAGAAATTCTTGAATTGTACCGATGCTCCTGTGAACAGACAAGGTAAATGACACAAAGGACTAGAAATGTCTCATTTATAACTATTGCGTTTTAAACGATGACCAATAATGTATTTCTTTAGCTGCGTGTGCTTTGGCTAATGACAGAGGTGTGGGTGGCAACTACTCAGTGTACTGGTTCTATGATATGACATATGGAGGCTGTTCTCGGTTTTGGTACGGAGGTGAAGAAGGAAATGACAACCGGTTCGTCAATAAAGAAGAGTGCGAGGACATCTGCGTGCATCCATCACCAAAGGGTTACTACTCTCCTCTGTTTTAAAAAAAATGCAAAGCTGTTTATTGTACTTCAAAATATGTCAATGATATCGTTATTATTCTCAGATGCTTGTAACTTGCCTAAAGTAAAAGGCGCGTGCACCGGATATCACGTTAGATGGTATTACGATTCAGTGCGCGAACAGTGTGCGCAGTTTGTGTATGGAGGTTGTCTAGGAAATACCAACAACTATGAGTCGCGAGAGCTTTGTCAAAAGAGCTGTGAGCCAGAGAAAACTGACGGTAAGTAATGTGATCAAGTAAGAAAAAAATAAACGCGGTAATAATACCAGAATGTTGACACCTTAATTGAATCGTTCCAAAATATTACTAGCTATGATATAGATATAACGTAGTTTGTTAATCAACATTGTTTGATATTTATGTGACTGTTATTTTATTGTGATCACTAGATCAATGTAACCTTCCTATCGAGCGCGGTTCATGCGCCGGTAACTTCCTCCGTTGGGGCTACGAGCCATCTACAAGACACTGCACTCAGTTCATCTGGGGAGGATGTGAGGGCAACCCCAACCGGTTTAGTACAGAAGCCGCGTGCATGCAGCGCTGCAACCCACCGGGAGCTCTCCAAGGTAAAAATCGGAAGGTTTGATAGGCTGGGCAAGGGTTATAATCAATTTTGTGAAAAAGCATGACCTCTTCTTGATCTATTTCTTCTTAATTTATAATCTTCCTGACTTTTCTTTTTGCGTGTGGTGGTTCTAATTTTCAATCTACTAATTGCACGAATAGCGGAATGCACTCTTCCTCAAGAAGCAGGCAACTGCACTGAGAAGCATCCGGCCTGGTCGTTTAGCCAGACTGAAAATAGATGTTTGCCATTCTATTACACGGGTTGCGGTGGAAACGAGAACCGTTTCGACAACGAACGAGCTTGCACAGATGCTTGTCCTAGTGCTTACGGTAATTATTTGTATAAATGGTGATTCAAAAAAACAGTAGGTAAATTTGTAATTATTAGTTTGTTTGGAGACGTATTTTTTTATTCCTTGCTCGTGTCTTATCTTAACCTTGCATGTTCAAAGGGATTTTCTTTACCTTCTTCAAATTTTTCAAATCCTGGTTTAACCAACATATAATTGAATTCATTTTATTATTCCCCACTGCTGATGTCAAACCCCGTGGTACTTGCAAAATAACCGAAGACTCAGGAATCGAATCTTGTATCTCGTCATTAACAGTCAAATATATTAATTAATAGGCGTAGTAAACTCTTATAATCATAATAAAGTTAAAATACTTTTGGTTTCATTTTGTAACTGTGTTAAAAAAATTCTACAGTCCAAGAAGTTTGCACGCTACCAGCACTAACTGGCGAATGCGGAGATTATACTCAGCGTTGGTTCTATGACACAGCGAAGAGAAGGTAATTTATTTAATAGATTTAGTTGTAAGATAAGCTCATAAAACAAACATTTTTTAAAGTATACTTAAGTGTGGGTAATAATTTTGTCACTGTGTATGTATATCGCTCTTTCCAGTTCACCAGTTTATATCTTCTATCTTATAGTTCTAATGTTCTAGTTAAAATGTACTACATACATATTTGAAAATACATTATGCCCTAGGTGTCGCATGTTCTACTATGGCGGTTGTGGTGGTAATGAAAACAACTTTATCAGCGAAAGAGAATGTGAGGACAGATGCACCGAGCAAGTTACCACGGTTACTGTACAACCGATGACCACACAACAGCAAGCATCTGGTAATTGTCTTCTTTGTTTTCCTCTTTTCTTTAATGATAGTGGAGGACAGAAAAGCATGTGGTCCACTTAATGGTAGAAACCTATAGCATCTAAAGAAGATGCGCTTTCAATTATTTTGGCTTTGAAAAAATTCACACACTGGAATCGAAACGTGATTCAATTTCATGTTTTTTTCGTCTGTGGACGGTGGTTCATGGCCCGGATGGAATTTCGATTTTCCTACCACCCATTTAGTATCCAGATTTCCAGACGATGTCCAACATAATTCAGAAAAATATAAATTGATTAAAAAAATATTGGACCCGGTGGGGATCGAACCCTAGTCTCGTTAATTATTACGGGCACGTTGATGTACATTACTACAAAACATCTACGACAAAAGAGTTCGTTCATGTTTCAGAATTCTGCTTCCTGGAGATGGACAGTGGGCCGTGCACCCAGAACGAAGCTCGTTGGGGATACGACTCGCAAAGAGGAACCTGTGTACAGTTCCAGTATGGAGGCTGTGGTGGTAACAGGAACAACTTCCCCACTCTGGAGTTCTGTCAACATTACTGTGCGCCAGTGCAAGGTGACGTAATACAATATCAAAACGATTTAATATGTTTGATGTTTAAGGCTTAGTTTTTATCACATTTTCTTGTTACAACGACCACTGAAATAAAGATACTGTCTGCAGAAGGATTTCTGTAAATAAAATAGATTAAAAATATTTACAGATGTTTGTCAGTTACCAATGATATCTGGACCTTGCGAGGGATCCGAAATGCAATGGTTTTATGATGCTGCAACGGACGCCTGCATGCAATTTACCTACAGCGGTTGCGGAGGAAATGAGAATCGGTATGTTTCGTATACCTCATAAGATCTTTATTATTACAAGACATCTGTTAAGGCACCTATAAAGTCCATCCTCCTTTCAATAATAAATTATTAGGTTATTAATACAAAAAAAAAAAACGTTTTACAAACACGGGGCGTGTTCTTATCGATGAAAAGATAAATGGAATGGTGAAAACCAATTAGGAGGTTAAATTCAAATATTTACTTACACTGTAAAAATATTTTAGGAAAATTAAATTTTGCATTGTGATTTAGAACTTACGGGTTACTTGATAAAAACGAATATTTTAAAATAATTAAAAACCCTTTGATTTGTCATTTGAAATGTCTTATTTTCTTATCCAGGTTCAGAAGCCGTGATGAATGTGAACATCGCTGCAAAGCAGCTCCTGGTGCAGTTACTACAACTACGGTCATTCCGGTAAATATTTACTTTTATTTTGTGAATTATTTTGTCGATTTTAAGTTTTTGATCCTGAGAGACAGAAGCGAACTGTCCAGCGCGGCACCTGTACAGCTGTTGTTTTTCTTGTAATATGACACAAGCTGCGTCCAACGTTTACACAAACAATGGATGTAGCTTGTGTCAATCAAGTTTTACAAAAACTAAGAAATATTTTAAATGTACAATCTACTTTTAGTAAAACTATCCGTCTTTGGAACTCTCTTCCCACTAATATCAGAAATGCTCAATCACTCCGTTCTTTTAAGAGTTTGCTCTATAAGTTCTACTTAGCGATAAGGCTGCCTTTTATTTATAAGTTAGCACGTAAGATTTTTCCTCATTTATATGTATTTTATGTAGTGTGTTTTATAAATAATAAAGCAATAATAAATAAATAAATAAAATACTTTTTGCTGCTCTTCATGTTTATCTTCTATGTTCATTTGACAAAGATTAAAACAGTCATTAATATTTTATAGGAAGTCGTTCCACCAGTGTGTAGGATATCACCAACTTTGGAGGAGTGTCAAGGGTCCGGACAAGTCTGGTACTTTGATACTAACCAGCGCGCCTGCGTTTCCCACGAAAACGCTGAATCTGGACGCTCTTGTAGACTCACAGGTGTTTTTGACACACAAGAAGAGTGTGAAAGGTTCTGTGGTGCTTTTAGAAATATTGGTGAGTGCACTGGGTAGGTTTTTTAGTACTTACTATTAACTCAAATGTTCTGTTGGTTTATGATGCTTGTTATCTGGCTGCTTTGTCTTATTATCTTCTACTTCTTTATCAGGAAAATAATTTTAGTAAGGCAGGAAGCAATTTACAGCCTTTAATCAGGCTGGCTAAAAAGTTATTTCCATCATCCATACTTTTGTATTAGAAAGGGGAAGGAATAAGTCTTAATAACATTATTATAATCTAGATGTCTGCCGCGCCGCCTTGGATCCAGGGCCATGCCATGAGTCTGTGCAGAAAGTCTTCTACAACTCTTCTGCTGACAAATGTGAACCTTTCATATACAGCGGTTGCCTCGGAGGACCAAATAGATTTTCTAATGTTGAAGAATGTGAATCCATATGTAGACCACTCGCAAGTATGTGGATATCTTTTGAAAAAAAAATGCATTAGTACAGATTTGTGCTTTATTCTTGGTTGTTCTATTTTGTTGTTGTTTTTTGACGTAAGGACCTACACAATAAAGTGTTATGTTTCTAGATCCTTGCAAGCTACAACCGGATCCAGGCAATTGTTTAGGTGAATTTATCAAGTGGTATTACGATGAAGCAAGGGATCAGTGCGGAGAATTTATATACGGAGGCTGTAATGGAAACGATAATAGGTTTGTTAATTTTTTTTTCAGTAAGCGTTCATTTCATATGGGATATCTTAAAACAATACCTAATTCAATTGACCATTTGGTAATTCCTGGTGGTATTTCTGTATATTACAATATGAATTCTTCGATAGTGCAAGATGTTTTTTAGCGTAGGGTTATTTATTATTAGCACATGATGGGCCTGGTAATAAACGAGACCCCAAAAGGAAAAAATAGGAGCGGGAGTACTAACATAGTTATCCTATTCTAAATATTTATTTTTGTACAGGTTCGAATCTCAAGCTGAATGTGACAAACGCTGTCGCCCTGACGCGCCTCCTTCTGCACCATCGACCAATGTGGTTAGTGTTAACGCAATAATAAGTAAATCATTGAACTTAGTCTTATTCGGCACGAAGTGTCCTATCGTTACCTATAAAAACCAATCAATTCAATTAAAAATCAATTATATTTTTCTCTTTGTATTGATTAAGGTGTTCGTGTCTTAGTAGACTAAAAATGTATTTTTGTCATGGTGGATTTCTTGATGTATTATGGTTATAGTTTGCAATGGAAGAATGCCGAACACCAGCATCCGTTCAGCCATGTGGGGCGAACGTAACGACTTATTACTACGATTCGAATACGGAGGCGTGCATAGTGGGTGACTTTGGCGCTTGCGGGTATCCCAACAGCTATCGCTCTGAGGAGGAGTGCGAGAGACGGTGTGGAGCATTTAGAGGAATCGGTAAGTAAAGTTATTCTAAAGAAAATTATAATATTTGTGTTGAAGTAGGAAACTCATTTTTACGAATGACTAATAAGTATCCGATGATATACTGTAAGTGAACGCTTAGAGTAGAGAATATTAATGCAAAATCATAGATGGAATGGATGTACCATTCCATATTTATTTTTCCTTCAACCTTTGCTGTTGCTGAGTCTATATGTTTATTCGTCTACGGCATTGAACGATACTGACCGCAAATTGTCTGTCCTTTTTATTTTAGGCATATCTGACAAACCAGGAAGAAGACCACGACCGCATTAAACATCTAAGCCATAAATTGGTCTTCTTAAGCTTATTTTTTTTTATAGATGTGTGCAATACTCGCGTGGATCCTGGACCGTGTGTCTACTCGATAGAAAAGTTCTACTGGGACGCCATTACGGAACAGTGCCTGTCATTCAACTATGGAGGCTGCGACGGAAGCCCCAACCGCTTCTCGAGTATTGAGGAATGCGAAGAAACTTGCAGCAATAACACTCTTGGTAAGAAACAGATCAGCTCTTTCATTACTCAGCTTGGGCGTGGCATTAGTTATTTCAACTTATCATTTATACTCTTAAAATGCATGGGCAGTAGTTATAACTTTATAAAAGACTTAATATCACTAATACTAGTAGACATTTAGTAGACACTTAAGTAGACCACTAGTACAACCAAATCTGGGCAATACCGTCGCTTATCTATTAATTAAGTGGGTGGGGGTTAGACGTAGCGTGCGCGCAGGCTGTGTCGATTGGCGAGCCGTGTGGGGCTGGTGCAACTAGACGCTGGTTCTATAGCGAAGCTGCCGGGGACTGTCTGGCCTTCGTGTACCTGGGCTGTGGGGGCACCGAAAACAACTTCAACTCCTTCCAGGAGTGTAGCGAGCGCTGCCTCCGACTGCCTCTTGGTACTGTCACCGCTTTACGCTTCGTTTCGCATTTCATTTGCTTGTTTCTTGCTTTACTGTAATCTCTAATTATCTGTATTTTAATTTCTTTTGAAAAATGTATAAATCGCCCGGCCCTCGAAACCAATACCGGGCCACCGCATTCGGTATGATACAGCGAAGCTTACAATGTGAAAATTATTTTGTTTAAAAATGTCGTTAGGATTTTTTGTTAAGTAAATTAATTTTAATTTTTTACTAGAAATGGCTTGTCTTATTGTACAGACTTTAATTTTTTTAATTGGTAAGTGTCTAAATGAAAAAAAAAAACACTTTATTGTTATATATTGGTCCTGAATTTAAACAAGTCTATTTTAATATAAGACCGTCTTCGAAAATAGTAACAAATTATAAAATAAAATACTCAGAAGTCTGACTAGCTAACTATATGTTGCGTTATGTGTTGTACGCTGTAAATAAAATATACAATGAATCAATATATTACTCTTCTAAAAATGATTTTCGTTTGCCTTCCCTAGTTGCACCTCAACCAGACTGCAGCAGATACTTGGAGGAGTGTCAGAGTCTCCGCTGTTCTAGTGGTGTGCAGCGGACATCCACAGCAGATGGTTGCGAGCGCTGCTCTTGCGTCGATTTACCAGACTGCGAGCCTCTAAGACAAGAATGCGACAGGATCAGTTGTCCCTATGGCGTCCAAAAGATTGTCCAAGCTAATGGATGTACACAGTACGTAAATTATTCATAACTATTGTTGTCATAATGAAACCCATATAAATCTAAGGTTTTATTTCGTCAGTAGTATTTTTTAAGAAATACATTTATGTATATACAATACAAATAATAATTATTTTATAAGTATTATTGTTACTCACCTTTATAAACAGTTGAAATACTTTTCGACTTCATCCGCGTAGAGTTTTGAGTGTAAAAATTTGTTATTGCAAACCTCTTCTTAATCTTTATGATTTTAGCGAGATGCCCACTGCTCTTGCAAGCTAATCTCAAGAAATAGACATATTGTATACATATTTTTTGTATCTCGAACTGTTTTCACAAAGATGAATAATTTTCCCCGATTTTGTCAAATTTCCTGCTGTTTCTTCGCTCCTATTAGTCATAGCGCGTATTTTGAAAATTTCTGGAGAAATGGTATTATTTTAATTCAAACCTTCAAACGTTCCTGAGGTCAATGATATTTATTCTTACAGATGCAGTTGCCTAGAGCACCCATGCGCCAACAAAGAGTGTCCACCTGGTGAACGTTGCACCATCGTCAGCTCCTACAGGAATCCAGTTACGCAGGAAATTCAATACGTTGCTGACTGCAAACTTGGTATGTTCCAACAGCATCCATGTTCATTGTCTTAGTTACATAAGAAATTTTATAACCATTACTATCCTAATACGAATTTGTGTCTATGGTTCCGGAAATATTATAACACAACTGTAGTTTATTGCCTTATCCACGCCTTCTTCACTAGCGTTGTTATTTAACGTGCTGGATCGCGTTAAAGCTTCAAATTAAATTTTCTTATAATATAAGACTGGAGGTTAAATAGAAACCTGTGTTGTAGCTAACAAGACCGGATCCTGTCCTGCTGAAGAGCCCTCACTAACAACAGAGAGTCAATGCCGTCGAGAATGTAACGATGACGCGGACTGTCCAGCGGATGGCAAATGTTGCCTCCGTGGTTGTAGCAACCTGTGTCTAGAGCCTGTCGGTCTATCACTCGCCACCACTACACATACACCTGGTAAGCTCTATTTGATAATGTTGCTATTTTGTTACGAAAAAAAAACTTACGATTACGAGAAGTTTCTGATTTTACTGATTTCACTAGTTATCTAATGTTGCTGTTGCTGTTGCTGTACTTATTAGTGTTACAAGAGCGTAAGCGTAGCGTTTGAAAGAGGACCTTTTTGCAGAATTACCACCTTCCGCACCTCAAGTAGATAGAGACACAGAACCGGAAGTGCGTGCAACTGAAGGTGGAAAGGCGACACTACGCTGCTTATTCCACGGGAACCCACCACCCAAAATCACGTGGAGGCGAGGGGAAATTACGGTAACCACTTGAACACATTTTCCCCTTTACATATCCTTTTTGGAGTGGAATATGGATAAGAAACCGTAAAAAAAGGTTTTATAATCAATTCACATTATTCTATTTAGATAACTGGGGACATCGATCGATACCGTCTGCTGTCTGATGGGGCCCTCGAGATAGTATCTCTTTACAGAAACGATTCAGGCGTCTACATCTGCATAGGTCAGAACAGCCTCGGTACAGCTGTGCAAGAGATTAACTTGCAGGTCGATGGTGAGTCTTAAGTATATCTTCATGACTCAACTACTTAGCTGAAGAAGGAAATATTTTCTAATGTTTTGATTATCTTTTTAACAGACAGCAACGAAATAATACCACCATCACCAGACTGTTCTGGTCTGCTAGAAGAATGCGAAGTTTTACGTGCAAGATGCCCATACGGTGTTCAGAGAATACACGTCGCTCGTGACTGTGTGAGGTGCGCGTGCGTCCAAATGGAGGCTAACTGCGAACCATTTGAGCGAGAGTGCGAGACGATCTTGTGTAAATACGGCATACGTCGAAACGTTGATGGCAATGGCTGCACACAGTGAGTAGACCACTACATTTCAGTGAGAAATAATTATAATTAGGTAAGTGCCATAAAATTGGCACGTGTCTCTGTCTGTTTCTCCGAACCAAGAAATAAAATTGTATTCACCGGGAAGCAGTTGATCAAACTTCTATAACCTGCCGCTCTCGTACTTAACGCATTTCTGTTAGTACTTGAGCCACTTTGTACATAATAGAGTCAAATTTGTTGCTGCTTAAACATTTCTTTAATTCTAAGCCACTTTAATAGTAGAACTGATAGCTCAACTCTACTATCAACTTGCGGAAATATGCTAGAACTTTCTTAATATTAAACAAATAAGTTATGCTAATTGCATTAGTAACATTTAAGCAATTTATTTAGATGTCAGTGCAATGGTCCTCCCTGCGAAACAAAAGCGTGTTCGCCTGGAGAACGGTGTAAAAATACGCCCTACAAGGATGCTCTATCACGAGAGATTAAGTACTTTGCAGACTGCAAACCAAGTGAGTATAATTTCTAAGTATAGTTTTATTAATCCACAATCACATTATATAATCTGTCTTCGCTTTCATTTGCAGCTAACAAGACAGGTTTCTGTCCACCAGAGGATCCCAGGGTTTCAGCAGGCCAATGTCGCAGCGAATGTGAAGATGATGCGGATTGTCTGGGTGTAGGCAAGTGCTGCGTAAGCGGCTGTAGCCGGATGTGCCTTGAGCCTGCGCCGGTGACTAGTCCTGCACCTTTGACGAGCTTATATGTTCCTGGTATAATACTTGTGTTTTATAAACTCCAAAATAAATAGTGGAAGTAGTTCTAAACTAGACTGCAATTAAATAAATATGACTTCTCAATTATGAATGATGAAATCTTCTCAATTATGAATTTTTAAATTTAAATATTATTAATATTATCGTTCATGAACCTGATTTGAGATATAAATCTTCTGAGCAGGAGAGCCTAGACCGCCTCAAGTAGACACGGAGACAGAACCACAAGTACGGGCATCCGAAGGTGGTATGGCAACGCTGCGTTGTCTGTTCCACGGCAATCCACCCCCCAAAATCATTTGGAGACGAGGAGAAATCACGGTGTGTTTAACTAAAAGTATCTCTCTCTATATTGGACGTTGGTATTTTTTAAAAGCTCTAACGAAGGGTAGTTATAAGATGCGAAAGATATATAAGCGTTGGTAATGCTTAAGAAATTTATATGTAAAAAATTTGGTAAAGCGCAAGGAATTGTGACCTCTGTAAGCAATAATTTAAATATAATTTCGTAGTATTTAAGATTTGGTTGATTATGTAGATAATATTCAAACTTATCGATTTATTGTTTGACTTATATAGTTTACTTGCATAATCAACTAAGAATATAATAAAATAGACGTAAGGAATAAAATATCGCCAAAAGGCAAACATGACGAAATATGATGATAATCAGGATAGCAGGACACGGTTAAATTGAGCTGCCATTAGAATCAAACAATGAAACGGCGAAAATATAGGGGTATAAATCATGATCATATGTTCATTTTATTATTTTATTCTTAAGATCGATGGTGACGTTGGGCGATACCGTCTCCTGTCCGACGGGGCTCTTCAAATTGTATCACTCTACCGGAACGATTCTGGTGTCTACATCTGCATTGCTGAGAATAACCTGGGCACAGCCAGACAAGAAGTTAACCTAGAAGTTGACGGTTTGTTTTCTATTATCTATGTCTTTGGAGGTGGTGGGAAAAGATGACACAAGTAATATATTATGAACATTATTTTACAACGTATTACACACATGCTCATTCTCTTAAGATAGCACAGAGTGAGTGAAAAGTAGTAGTAGTATCGACCGGCCTACTCATGAATCAAAATTCAATTTCAAGCAAATCAATTATTTTATAATTTTTGTAGTCATCCAGAGTATTACCAATTTTAATCTATCATTGAAAAGTGCATTGTGCTTGGGTTTTGTTTCAACAGTGGGCCTGATTATTCTAACATTTCTATCTTTGCTGTGGGTTATGAGCTCTTTTGGGTTTAAACCCCAAATGCACGACACTCTTCTTCTTATAAACTGATCTCAATTCTTTCTGTCTTTATTAACTTTAAGCAATTCTTCTCTAACATCACAACGAGCGGTAACATGTAATAGCGAAATACGTTTAAGGGTAAATTATAACTTTGATGGCAACCATAAAGTTAGGCAAGCGTTTTATATTTTTTTAGTATACTAGTAGTAGGTTCTTGGCATCAATTGAAAATTGAATTATACCATAATTACGTATGTAAAAGTTAAAATATTCTTCCTTATAATTATAATTTGTTTGGACAATTTTTTACTTGTTATTGTGTATATATTAAATGCCAAAGTTAAATTTTAATAATTATTAATAAAAATTATGCATTTTATTTCCATACACTAACTAACCTTCATTATATTATAAACAGTGCGTGACGTTACAACGTACAACTTAAAGTCAGTTTAAATACTAAGAAAAGTGGCATAATCGTTATCTAAGAGCTGAACAATGTGAATGTGCCTAATGATAACGACCTCAACTAGGACCCAGTGGAGAGTTAATGACTCATGGGCAACGTGCTAACAACCTCTAATGACATATTTCAGATAAAACAATGAGTGGAATGATATTGTAGATTGATGCCAGCAAGTGTTTTCGTAAAAAAGAAAAGTATATAATCGATAGTCTAAATAAACGTATGAGAGGACGCACGGGATGCTGTCATTGTGGGTTCGAGGCCGTTTCATTGAAGTCTTTCTGTCCCAAATAGAATTTAAATGATTTATTTTACATTTACGTTTTTTTTTATTTCATTGGATGTAAAAGATATTCTACAACACAAACGTTAAAATAACATCAGTTTAATGTAAGGGCGGAAGTATTCACTTTGATAGTAACCAGATAAAACCTTGTAAAAGCGATTTTCTTTCATTGGCTCTTACCAAACTTACATTGTTTATACCTGTACTTGCAAAACACATTGTCCAGATGCTCGCTTCAAAAATAAATACCCGAGTTACAACGTTATTCCAGTGCCCCGATAGTTTTCGCAGTGAACAGACTCGGTTTACAATGGCAGCAAGCGGCCGTCTGTTCTGCCCCCTCGTTACCGTGTTACCGCTCGTGGTATTTTCGTCCGCGGGCGCAAGCCAAGGTTCACTAACAGTTCTAACATTCAATTAGCCCTCGTTTAAACAAATAAGTAAATCTAGAAGTTGTTATATAAGATTGTAAGTCTAGAGAGAAAAACTGCGGAAGTAGTTAGTGTGTGTAGATCACAATATTTCGACAGTTTATAAACTGATGATTAAAAGCATAGCTATACTTACAAACTTAAAGCATTATATAATTATTTTTTTTTAAACTTTCTATACGAGGGCTAATGTGTTTCATTTCTGGGTTTAGTAGTTTAATGAGTTAGCTGACTGTATCAACAATTGAATTTCTTAATACTCAAATCAGTTTAAGAATTTATCTCTTATTTTGAAGAATTCTTTTGTTAAAACCACATGTCAGCTAACTTAGTAGTCGCTAACAAGTGCTAACATTGGGCGTGGTTAGATCCCGTGGACACCCCAGCCGGAATTGGTAATGTCCCCAATGAGATCGTCCTCGGAGAAGTGGGACGGTCCCTCAACATACGCTGCCTGGCATTTGGATATCCCCAGCCGGCCATCTACTGGTACAAGGGCAGAAATGGCCCCATGATCCCGTACACCAGCACCCTGTACGAAGCGAGGGGGAATGTGCTTCAAATTCGCCAACTCAACGTTGAGACACTAGGAGATTATATTTGCCAAGCCTACAACGGGATCGGTAAACCGGCCGAATGGGCGTTTACTATACGAGAAATGAGACCCGATGAGGCCGGGAACTATGTGAATCCCCAGGCACCAGTAGTGCAGACCTCTACCGACCCCCAAACTGAGGCCACAACGCCCCCAGAACCCATATTACCTGACATACGACCCCCGGTTTATACTGGTAAGATCAAGCCTGTTTATGCTGCATGAGTTTTTGTTTGCATATTCGCATGACTACTTCTAGATAGTTTAATAAAAAATTGCATGCATAGCCTATATTTTTTAATTTGGTAACAATAAAAGAAACTATTACATAAACGAGAAATTGTATTTACTATTACTATACATTTATTGTGTCCTAGTACATCAATGTTTTCCTCGTCACTCTATTTCATAATTTTAGTTATGTTTCTTGTACAGTGCCCGTAACCACGCGAATCCTGGCGGAATCCGCGACGGTTTCTGCTGGAACTGTGATCAGTGTGCCCTGCGAGGTAGACGGATACCCGGTTCCAGAAGTGCGGTGGACTAAGGACGGTGTGGTGTTAGGAGCGAGCGATAGGATACAAATTACCGGTATGTCTATGTTATAAATTTTGTCTAATATGTTCTTCAGTATTAGCTGTGCTTCACGCGCAAATATGACAACTAATTTCGCAGTTTTAAAAAAAGTGTTTTAATTTTTATATGATCTTTCTTCGCTGTGACATGAACATAATGAAAACCAAAAATTATTCTAGTAGAATATTACAGACATATTTCAATGTTGCAGAGGCACGTCTGACGATATCTCGGGCGACTTCCAACGACACTGGTGTGTATGGATGTGAAGCGAGCAATGGATACAGCTCCCACTCCTCAACGGTCACCATTGTAGTTCAAGGTATTTTTTAATAAGAGATATATAAAGCTTCAAAGAAATATAAGTGACCACGGTCTTATAGCCGCAAGGTTATAAAAATACGCTTATAGGTTTCCACTTAGCAAGATTTATCAAAAGACTCATTGCTTTCTAATAACCACAAATGTGATTTATTGACTATTATTGCATTTAAAATATATTTAAGAGGCACTCCCAAATAAACACGGATTGTTCCACCTATTTATGCTTCATTTCAATAAAATCTAATCAGGTAGACATTTGATTTAAATAAATTAGATTACAATCTGAATTTTTGAACACTCTGAACACGTAAACTCTTCGTAAAAGAAATTGACTCGCAGTTGCCGGTTCTACTGTGCTGTATGACTACTTCAATGATCTAAGGATTAGTACAGTCGCGTCCATATCATGAAACTCAGGACTCGAATCTCGGGTCTCAGGAAATACTAAATTAGAATTTGGATTTGTTTTAAGAATATATCAAATACCAGATCACGCACGTTGAAACATATTTATCTCTATCTACTTTGATATATATGTGTGCAGTTAATGTTCAAGACCGAGTCTCGTAGTGCAACGAGGGGGAACCATGACCATCTGTGGGATATAAGAAATAAATGTTTATTTATCTCTTTACAGGCTTGTATATCCCACCGACATGCAAGGACAACCCATACTTTGCAAACTGTCACCTGATTGTACAGAGCAACTATTGTCACCACAAATATTATTCAAAGTAAGCATTTTATTTCCATTGTTTCAATTTTGTAGTCTAATGGGCTCAGAGAGAAAGTCAGATTAAATTGATTGAGTGAAATTTAGACATAGTGAGTTCAATTCCCAAGATTCTGCAAAGCACAGACTCAAAATAGAAGATAATAAATTTATACTCTATTCCTTACTAGATTCTGCTGTAAATCGTGCGTGGAGTCGGGTCAGCTGGATCCCGCTGACTTAGATCTGATGCAAGCAGATGAATCTTTCCAGAAGAAGTAATCTCGAACCATTTTTAAACTTGACATCACAAGACCTATCTTTATAGTTAACACCAAAAATATTCAATATCACTTACGCTCGTGGCAATCGTCTTTTCTAACCGTTGGTTTAAAAAGTACTTAATACCACCATATTTGAATCCTTGATACAATTACATTTTAGTTATTATATTACTGCATTTATAGAACTTACATCTTGTAAAAATGAAGTACAAGTCTTTCAACCAATAGTATTTTTAATTGTCTAACATTTTTGTGCCATAAAACGGGGAGTGTCAACATTCTAAGTTAAATACTTTAATTATAACAGTTTTCGGCATTCCAATATTTGATTAGAGTGGCAATTATTTGAATTTTTATATTTATATGTACTCTTCCAAAATTTGTAAACAAAATATTTTATTTTTCGTCTTATTGTCCACTTGTGACCGGATATGGGCACTCCCATTAGATATTAATATTAATACAATTAACCGTACACTAAGATATATTCCATTCCACAAAATAATAACGAGCAGAACTTTGACACAATTAACCATTATCAATAGAATACTTGTTAGATAAGGTTAATTTTATAGAAAATGTAAATAGTAAAATGTCACAAGTAGATGGATTAAGTATTATTTTCAGTCACAAGATTTACTTAGATTATTCAATGAAATAATTAATAATTCGATTACCTAAGTTATATATGAAACATATACAAATATTCTTATTATTTACGATGTCAATCTTTTAATTCTTCTATAGACCTACCGTGTGACAAGTAAGGTGCTTATAAAAATGTGCAATTGGAGAACGTTAAACCGCTAATTAGCTAACATAATGTAATATTAATTTCAGTCATAATAATATATAAGTCAATCTGTAAGTGACACTGTAAATATATGGAAGTAATAAAGATTTTATGAACACTTGTGGTTTTATTACCTATACTTGTAATCCACTTAAGATGCACTGTCAACCTCTTTTGCCTTGCAGCATTCTGAAGCTGAAACGTGGATCTACTGTTCCAGGCTTTGCCATCTGAGGACTGCGGTTCGTAACGTGATGGAATTTTTATATTCTAAGTACCTATATAATATCCAAATATAGCAGATACACGTAGAGACTAACAATTTTATAAAAAATAGAATTTCCTAATAAATTAATTTCCCTTTTTGTATATTTGAACCGGTTTTTCCGTTGAACTTTTATATATTGTGCTTCGTATTCCAATAGGACATTATAAAACATTTTTCCGTTCTAAGCTTCAACACTATCCAAACCTGTTTAGAGGCTCGAATTCCCACTGAGCCTTCCACCTAAATTTCACAATATAATCCAAAATAAATAAATATAAAATTTGCTAAAGGCAAGATTAGTAGAATTTTAACATAGATTACAGGCAATGAAGAATAAACATTTTTCAAACAGACACGGAATATCAAATAAACAGCTTGATAAAACAACACAGCGGATATACACTCTGCAAACAGCGTAAATAACTTTGACCCAACGCCCTGATAAGGAATTAGCGAAAGTAATAAATAAATAACGCGTCTTGTTTTTTGTATAATCTGCGTATAATACAGAATTAATCTTGTAGAAACAATGAATGTATGGTGTTATATTAATAAACTTCGTCTCAAATAAGGCATGTGTCGCATAATCTAAAAAAAGAGTAATGCCGACTTAATTCATAAATAATATAATAAATCTAACACATAGATATATACTTAGGTACATTAGGTATTTTTGTAGTTGTGCGCCGTCCACCTATTTTGGCATTGGATATTTGGAAATCTACAGGCTGAAACCAAAACGCGATTCTATTTCACGACTTATTTGCGGACGGTGATTCGTGATCGAAGGGAGTTTTGTTATTACAACTTCCAAACTTAATATCCAGTTTTCCAAACGATGAGACAAATAATAAATTGTTTAGAAACATGTTGGACACGGTGGATATCGAACCCACGATCCTTACATTATAAGTAGCCATACATTGCTACCTGTTGAATCTAGATTCTAGATCAATGTACCTGTATTTTTTTTATAACTATGTTATTCTTGTCGAAATGAAATTGTTATTAAATTATCTGCTTTGTTTTCTTGAGAGTTTGTTATGTTTCGAATCTATAATCTAAAACGCACTTTCCACAATAATGCGAAGTAAGTGATTTGGAAGTTATCTTAAGTCAAAGTAGTAAAGTTCGCATATGTGACACATTTACAAGAAACGATACAAGTTGTTTATTTTAATTTGTATTACATTAACTTTTTATTAAATAAATAAAAATACTTTTACGCCTTAGTACCTCCACAGGTAATAAGTGATTACTATGTTAGTAAAATCTCGTGGGCATGGGATAAATATTTTTCTGTTCTTATTTCACCAATCGATGGTATTGTAGGCACGTAGTTGATTAAATTTTTGTGCCCTGACCGAACCAAACTGTAATGTCTTCTCGATCCTGCGACCAATGACCTTATCGCACAGTGGTACACATAGCCTATGTAAAGAATCCTAAACGTCGGGTCGTAATTAAAAATAAATAACTAAATATTTCTTACACACATTTTCGCATGTAATTAATAGTAATGAAACACACTGTATAGCCAGTGAATTCAAATCTGTTATCTATCGTTGATAGCTCTAAAATCAATAGACAGTTCTCTAGTATCCGTCCAACAGTGATGTCAAGTTTCAAAATGTCCCGACTAACTTTATTTTTGGTTTTACTAGTGACAATAACACAGGTGACCTCGGGACCCTATAATGGTTAAATTTTCTTATTTATACTGTAATAAATAAATATATATCGTTTCAATCGAAAAATTTAAAAGTTTACGTCGTTAAAAAAATACGTTTATATTTCTGTTTGTCTGTACATTATTTACTCCGAAAGCTTTGATTGATTGTTGATTTATGAGTAGAATAAGCATATAATTTATACTAGACTTTGTAATTTGTATTATATAACAATTTGCTGGCATTTTATATAAAATGCCAGGAAAACATTTTGTCATTGTAATATTTTAAACCAGCCGTACTTGCAAACAAAATAGATAAGTTTTCGTACTGCATAAACAAACTTTAGAATTGAAATGTTATCAAGAAATACAAACTAAAATAGCGTATTATAAAAAGTAAAATAATAATTTACTAACATTATTACAATTTCTGTGGGATGTACTATTTTTAATAAGTTTTCTATTATTTTGAACCCGTGTGCAAGAACTGATAGTAACTAAAGTACACGTGTTTTATAAAATCAAATATTAGAATACAATAAAATAAAATACTTCTAACGGTTCAAAACACGAAATCTATAAATATGTCTGTATGTATATAGAAATGTAAATCGCGATTTGAACCGTTGAAAGTGTTAAATTGAAATATGTACTACTCGCGTAAACTACACAATATATACAGACAGAAGAACACTTTTATGGCCGTAATCCAATAATTTAATTAGTTTAAATTCCTTGTATTAATACTCGATTCTTAACTAAAAAGTAAGTAACTAGAAATTTCAACAACGTTCGATTTTTTATAAATGTAAGCTGCCCACGACATCGGTCGCGTCCAGTCGCTCGCGACCCATTCGTTCGAGTCTCGTCGTTCTTGCAAGTTAATCTTGAAAGGTAGACATATAGTGTCGTGGACATTGTTTCAGATCATTTAAAGAGAAATCATTCTCACATTTAAATAAAAGACTTTAACGGTTTAAAACGCGATATATTTAAGTTAAATTTTTTTGAGGATTATTTTTAACTACGGCTGCTGCAAAGCAACCGACGTTTCGGATGCTTTGCAGTAGCCGTGGTCACGGGGAGACTAAAGATGGAGGTCTCTGACGTCAAAGTAAAAATTATCTATCTGTTCCGTCGCAGTTGGTATTTGGCGAAACTGGCCGGTTCCTTGCAGAATTAACTCACCGTAGCCGTAGTTAAGTATAATTCTCAAAAAAAGTTTAACTAAAATATATCGAGTTTTAAACCGTTAAAGTGTTTTATTTAAATGTGTACTACTCGCGTAAACTACAGACCGTATCATTGTCACATATATACATATTTGTGGGTGTGTTGAGCCCTGAAAGCCACAGAGATGAAAAATTTCGTCCATTTTGCTCACATCGCTTCTATTAGTCCAGCGCGATCTTTTAGCCTATAGACATCCTCAATAAATAAACTAACCAACACAAATATAATTTTTCAATTCCAACCCGTAGTTTCTGAGATTAGGGCGTTCAAACAAATGAATTTGAAATTTCCCCTGTTTTGTTTATATTTCCCGCTGTATCTTCTTATCTTCGCTTCTATTAAACAAACAAACTCTTCAGCTTTATATATAAGTGCTCCTTTTATAAGTAAACGTTTTTATTTTTTGCACCAGGGCTACATATACCATCAGAGTGTACAGACAATCCCTTCTTCGCTGACTGCAGTTTGATTGTTCGAAGCAAGTTCTGCCACCACAAGTATTATTCATCGTACGTATTCGCCAAAAAAACCTATAAACAAATTAGTCATTGACAGAAGTACTTTTATCTGCGCCCACGCAATTTATTAGATAACGAACATTTTGCTTGCTTGCTTAAGTCGAGGATTATATCATTAGTGTTTATTTAAAAATACTTATGGCACGGGCGAGACTCGAACCTGTGTCAATTATATGAAGCAACACTACGACGTCTGTTAGTTACAGACGTCGTTAACGGTTAAATAAGTGTTAATAATAATACGGCTTGAGAATGACACAATTGCTTTAAAAATTTCATATTTTTCCTTTATTATATTATAATGTAATAAGATTATATGTTTATTTTTCATGTAAATTAATTTTTTTTTTTTTATAATTTAAAAGAACTTTCCTTCTTTCTCTCTTTCCAGGTTCTGCTGCAAGTCGTGCATTGAGTCTGGACAGTTAGATCCAACGAGAACTTTTAACGAACCCGAAAACGATTATTGGAATTAAGTGGAATATTAAACATAATTAGTAAATATATGTTATTCGTTAGTAATGGACATTTTTTTTTTATAAACACTAAACAATTGCGAACAAGTGTTTGCTAAATTATGGATTATCAAACTTTACATCGATTACTGTAGTGTGTCCTTTTCACCTAGTTAGACCAAAATGTTTTGTAATTAAGTCCGGGATTCGAATCCACGGTCTCTCGTTGTAACCGCACCGCTCTATTCAACCCAGCCAAAGAGGTAAACGTATATAATAATATTTTTTAAACTAAATACTGTCTATAGTTTACGCGAGTAGTACACATTTAAATAAAACACTTTAACGGTTTAAGTCACGTCTGCTGCAAAGCATCCGAAACGTCGGGCCGAAGTTAAAAATCATTTTTAAATAAGTTTAACTAATATATCGCGTTTTAAACCGTTAAAGTGTTTTATATAAGGGTTTTTAAACTACTTTTCATTGACATATATTCATTTAAATAAATGTTTAATCGTTTCATACGCTACTGAGAAGTGTTAACTTAATAAAATTAAATGGGTCTTATTCAAAATACCCAAAATTCCTAATTAATACTTAATAATAAATATAATTATGAGAAATAATTGTTAAGTTGTGGTTTATAATGATAATCGATGAATAGTTTTCCTCTCCACGAATACAGCACATTCGTAAATAGGCAAAGACACTCATCGTTAAAAGCGATGAAATGGATGATACCAAGTTATCGTTATCAATATGAAAACTTATATTTCAAACATTTATAATGTCACTAATGATATGTAAAGCCACATTCGGGTAAAAAATACATTTAAATAAAACACTTTACTGGTTTAAAACGCGAAATATATCAGTTAAACTTATTTACAAATTATTTTTAAAAATTCTGCAAGGACCCAGCCACTTTCGCCAAATACCACCTAGGACGGAACAGATGGCGCTAGCGTAGCAGTTTTTATTTTGACATTTAAGACACACTCCATCTCTAGTCTCCTCGAGACCAGCGCTGCTGCAAAGCATCCGAAACCGCGGGCAGTAGTTAAAATTTGTAAATAAGTTTAACTAATATATTTCGCGTTTAAAACCAATAAAGTGTTTTACTGTATTCGACTGATATAGGTTCGTAGGCACTACTCAGGACGCTTGTTCTTTTAGGGTCTTTTAGTAACTAACAGATACTTAGATACGATATAAGTCATATTGTTACTAACTAATCCAACACTCTTAAAATGGATCGATGATCAGATGAATAAATTATTATTATAATTAAGAAAGGTCATTCCCTCTGTGTATTTTCTGTATTTTCCTTAAACAATCGTCCAGAATTGCATAACAATGGACCCAAATACGTTTAATAAGAATAGTCTGGAATTCTTCTAAATATTTTATTTAATAAAATATTCATATCCTAAATCACATATTGATTTATTAAACATTCACGAAACTAACGCTTGCACAGGCAGCCTAATCACTACATAGTACATACATACTGACCGGTGCTCGCTAAATATAATTTGAAATTATATTTAAAATTTTCCCGTCACTGTGCAACAAGTAGATGCGATAAGTAGACGTTTTATATATTCGAAGTTCGTGTTTCATAAATTTGTGTTATAAGATTTTAAATATTAAATAAATGAAAGTTGTGTATTCTTCAATAACATTATGGATATTTGTTTGTTAAAGTAAGTAATTTTATTAAAGTACCTGTTTGATAAAGACGTTAAAAATTTGAAATTGGACAAACTTATTATATTTTTCTGATATTGTTCATTTCATTTTACCAAATTCCTAGGCTAACTGTCGAATTTTGAAATATTAGCTTATTAAATTTGTAAATTGTTACGTATTTTTTTTTATCTCTCACTCCGAGGTGATTCTTAATTCTCCTGGACAAAAGATGAGAAGCTCAGGTTTAGAGAAAGCTTATTTGCACGAAGTGAGATAATATTGGGTAATGGTTACTGGTTTTGTAAAACCTCGTGTGTCGTCGTCATGTAACGTCTGGCCGAAGTTAAAAATCATTTTCACATAAGTTAAACTAATATATCGCGTTTTAAACCGTTATTTAAACCTTGTGTGTTTAGATTAGGTAAAATATCGTTCTACCCGCACCCACGCGTTCGGACTTCCTCAAAAACTGTGTAGCTACAAAAAACCTGCAAATATATGTCAACTAGTATGTGGTATCTTATGTCGATAAATATATGATGTCATTATGACGCAGAATCAAGCCTCTTATAGAATATAAGCCTTCGGCTGCCATGCGGGCGTCATTGCAGACATATTAGATATATCTGTTTATATCAATATTATGTCAATGTCAATTGTCAGACAAGTTTTTTTTCTATAACTCTGGGGATATCTTTATTTAGGGTGACAAAACCATTCATTTCTCGAAATTTGAATTATTTGCTCTTTGGCAGATTCGTGATAGCGCTAACAATTATTTGCAGTCAAGGTGTTGTGTCACGAGAAGAAGGTAAGTAATAAGATATAAATATATATATCCAAAATAGATAGTTGAGTATAGGTTCTTTATGGAGAAAAAAATACGATGCAGTGGCGCTTACAAAAATCTTGTGCAGGTTCTTCTTCTTCCTATTAAATTGTATTATTTGCTAGTTAAATGTGGATTCGAGAGTGTATGAATATGTAATTACTAAACAATGATTATTATTAGGATGTATTAATTGTTTTTTTTGAGTAATTAATAATTTGATAATTCTTAGATTGTTGTACCTATGTAACAATGTGTTTTAGATAAAGATGATGAATACTTGTACAAAGAGATTTGTTACGAAGAAGAATCTTCGGAAGATGATCAAACGCAAGATGTCAACGATGATGGATACACTGTGGTAATTAAAACATTAATCATTCTTATATGTACATCTTACTATAATTAGGAACTTTGTTAAAAATCTTATGTTGTCGTATGAGAGACCGTTGGAACCTAAAAACGTAGCACGAAACGTCATGATAGTGAGTTCGAATCCGAACTGTGTTATTTTTTGAATGATAGGATAGAATAATATGTGAAATACCCCAACTATATAACAACTATAAAAGATTTGCCGTCGACCTTTTTTGTCTTTAAATATTCAGAAATCCACAGACTAAGATGGAATTTAAATTTTTCTACCACCTAGATTTCCATTTTAATTTCATTTTTCGGAAATTCTCAATACACTATATGACCCTTTTGTATTTTTTATTTCAGTTTATAGTTTTTTTACCGTTTTCAGATACCGCCAACAGATTTTCAGCAAAACCCAGGTAATGCAATTCTACAATCACTACTTTTTCATAACGTATTTCTGAGCAACGCGTTGTAAATCAACGGAAACAGTAAAAATATACGACACGGTGAACTTGTAGTATTGACTAATATTGAAGCACGAAGCGTTGTGCTTTTTTATGGACAGACGAGCATTTATATATCAAGACTAATATTATAAATGCTAAAGTAACTCTGTCTGTCTGTCCGGCTTTAACGCCGAAACTACTGGACGTAGGCTTTTAGACACAGCTGACGAAGTCGCGCTAGTATGTCTATATAGTATTTATACAAAACAACCTCATAAACATCGAACTAGGCTTATGTGTATTATTTGATTACATTTGTTAAAAAATTAATAGTTGTATTGATCAAATAAAACAACGTTTTTAACTACGGTTGGAAATTAGATTTTATAACTTCATTTCTTACAGAAAAACGAACGAAGTGCATAGTGAAAAAGGTCCCCAAATGTAAAACTAGCAAGTACGGATGCTGTGCCGATGAAATAACAGCAGCCTCTGGATTTAATAAACTTGGTAAGTTTTATATCTGTACATGAAACCTCTTTTAACAGTTTAAAACTCTAACTATAGTATTTCATATAGAACACAGCGACTATAAGGCGTCTGAAAGTTATAATCGTGGTTAAGTTTAATTGACTAATATAGTTTGTATCGTTAAAAATATTTAAGTGAAAACCAGAAATAAATAAAAAAGAGCAATATTCAGCTGTCTGGGAGCTAAATAAAAAGCGTCCAATAAATAACTTACAGAGACGGCCACTTAATTCTTTATAATTTTAAATGAGAACTTATATTCATCAAAGAATGTTCTCAAGACGCTGTCGGCCGTGGGTTCAAGTCACGCCTGTGCTTATCCACCAGACATATGGCCACACGTGTCGACTAGCGTCGATTGAAGCTGGAGAGAACTGGATTCGAACCCCGGGGAAACAATAGAATGCTTCTGTTGGGCAGGGCACAGAAGTCTGAGCTACTTTTTGCATATAATTAAACCTATCAATGAAACAGACCTAGAAATGGGTTGGGTTGGGGTGGGGGAAACGTTATATCACTATTTTTAATGCTTTTCCAACTCAGTGACTGGTTTCTTGCAGGGTGCCCGAAACACATTGTCAAAAGCAATGTAACGACGGAAGAAAGGTGAAATAAATTTAACTCTTTATATAACCTAACATAATCTTTTACTATTTAGAAATCGTCAGCTTTCCGTGCTGTTGCTCTACCAATCGGACTCGGTAGCTCAATTGGTAGAGCAACAGCATGGAAAGCTGACGATGCCGGTTCAAGTCCTGCCCGAGTCGAAATTTTTTTCAATTTATTTTCGATTTTTTAATTATATAGTGCCTTCATGTACAATAACATGTGAAAAATATTAATGTTTTTGAAATAATCTTTTACTATTAATAATTTTTTTTTCTAATAAATATTGCTTTTACTAACAAGGGTAAGAGCTGAGCCCTATTACTAGTACTTCGTTGCATGTCTGACACTATGCTGTTTATCAAGAACCACAATAGCAAGATTGAATCATTTAATAGATATATCACTGTTAAGTATTGTCTGTATCTGAAACATTAAATAAAACAGTCCTAATGGCCTAAAACGCGAAATGTATTCCACCCTCCATCTTCAGTCCCCCTCGTAACCAAGGAAAGCAAAGCATCCGAAACGTGGGGCCGTAGTTTAAATTAAGTTATTTAATATGTTTCGTATTTTAAAATTGTTTTATTTAAATTCCTTACTATTTTTAATTATCTTGTCCATTAAAAGAATCAAGACAGGAGCTTAATTTTAAACTTATTCAATTTTGCTGGCCAAATTCGTGTTTGACGTGTTCCTCAAACTATAAGTTTTTTTATTCAAGTTTTTAACAGTTTAGGGCCTGCCGCTTTCAAGATGTTTCTGGACGTTCAAGAAATATATTTTTGATGCATGACTGGAAATCGAACCCAACCTCAGGTGTCAAATCTCGTGGCTCTAACAAAAGAAGTAATTTATATCTTATGCGTTTAGCCCCATGGTTTGTGAATCCTCGGTCTATGGCTGTTGTCAAGATGGCAGGACTCCGGCACATGGACCAGACTACGAAGGCTGCTGTTTACTTTCCGAGTTCGGCTGTTGCCCTGATAACTTCACGCCTGCTGATGGACCGGATCCTGAAGGTCTAGTAATTTCATTTAGTAACGTCCTTCCAATACTACTACTTCTATCTTTTATCATGAATAAAAGAAGAAATAAATGAAATAATAATAATAATTTAATAATATACGACATACAACACATTCAAAAGCCACATTCGATGTGAACGAATGTCTATAAAAATAAAAAACTGTTATGCGCATCTTCTCCGTAGAAGACGATAAAATAACGATCTCTTTTGAGTAAGAGCGATTCGCTCTCATACTCCAAATAAAACGCTCGGCGATGTAAAATGCGAAAGAAATACTTTAATTTTAATTACAACTCCATAATTGGGATTTTGGGAGCAGCATTCGCCGCGGGGACATAACACTGTGTCTTTAATATTAGACACACTAAGTTTGGTCGTAATTGATATTTTAAATTATTAAATCTTTTCCGTATACTTTTAGATTGTGACTGTTCATATACACGCTTTGGATGCTGTCTTGACTGGTCGACCGTCGCACGCGGACCTAACGAAGAAGGGTGCGGATGCCAATTCTCGTGGAATGAATGTTGTCCAGATAGGTACTGCCACTAATAATAATGTGGACTCCCAATATTGTCTGTTAAAACAATGAAAAGGGTGCATAACGTCAAATATAATTTTAGTCTGCTTTTAATAGACAAGGTCGCATTGAATGTAAATGAAGATCTTGCTAATGTAATCAACTTTTTAAATTTCAATATCAAATTGCTGTTATGTGTAAATAAAGTTTTTAATACTCGTCAAATTTTACCAGGATTACTCCAGCTAGTGGGCTCAATTTTGAAGGTTGTGGCTGCCACACATATCAGTTCGGTTGCTGTCCTGATGGTGTCACACCGGCAACAGGAGCAGACCTGCTGGGATGTTCGTGTAACGAAAGCAAATACGGATGCTGTGGGGACGAAGTAACAGCGGCCAAAGGACCCAACAAAGAAGGGTGCGATTGTTCAAACAGTAAATACGGCTGCATGCTGGATGGAGTAACTGAAGCTAAGCAAAAGACATTACGTAATCGTGCTAAACCGAAGCGATTGAGTGAGTATAATTAAAACAATCTAGCATACCTTATAATGTATATTAAAGCTCATATCAAAGAAATAAATGTATTTTTTGGATAGTTCTATGACCTAAGTGAGATTCGAATTCACGACAGACAATCAGAATACGGTCGCGTCTTCAACGCTTTCATTGTTTATAAAGAACGCAAAATCAGATCCAACAAAAGCTGGCGCATAACGAAACTCTATTGAACCTTTTTTAAATAAAACACTTTAACGGTTTAAAAATTGCTACGCTAGCGCCATCTGTTCCGTCAAAGTTGGTATTTGGCGAATTCTGTAAGGACCCGGCCAGTTTCGCCAAATACCAACTTCGACGGAACAGATGGCGCTAGCGTAGCAATTTTTTACTTTGACGTCAGAGACATCCTCCATCTTTAGTCTCCCCGTGACCACGGCTGCTGCAAAGCATCCGAAACGTCGGGCCGAAGTTAAAAATCGTTTTCAAACAAGTTTAACTAATATATCGCGTTTTAAACCGTTAAAGTGTTTTATTTAAATGTGTACTACTCGCGTAAACTATAGACAGTATTCTATTGAACCTTCAAACCTAGCACATACATCTTGAAGTCGAATTTAAGCTTTAACTTTATTTTATGTCTTGTGGTTTTAGCTCAATGCGCCCTTCCCCTGGAGCGTGGACCCTGCGCTGGTAAGAATATTAGATGGGGCTTCGTACCATCAACGAGGCGTTGCGCCCCATTCATCTGGGGAGGATGCCAAGGCAATGCCAACAGATTTGACACGGAAGCCGCGTGCATGCACCGCTGTCATCCACCTAACACCCTGCCAGGTAATAAATCTACGCTAGTATTAAAAAACTTAACAGTAGGTATATTTTCCTATTTAAAGAGTTTTCTTGATATACTACCATATAACAGAATACTTTTTCTGAATTTCTGAACTGCTGTGTGACTTAAGAATGGGATTTAATTTTCCAGCATAATTGTAATGCATTTGTAGATATTTTTAAATGAAATATACTTTATTCTCTATATAATTATAAAAATTATTTAGATTTGTCAAATAAAAAAAAATATGTTTGCCTATCCGTTCGTCGTGATTCTAAAGTGTTCAGAGAAGCATCATAACCGAGAAGAACACCCGAGAAACTCAGTCTGGCTTTTTTCAACATGTCTTATAAACTGATACATTTTTGTGAATTTATTAAACTAAAGAGCAATTTATATCACTGTTAGGCATCTTTGTCGTTTTTTAATTAAGTATCAGACCGTCTGCAGGTAGATCTGGAATTTACATGGATATAGGTACGTCGCTAAAGCTGTAGAGTGGAGTTCGAATCCGTTTTTGATCTCAGTCAGTGGATTTCTATATATTATCCGTTACATATTACTTCTTGTTATAGATACTACTGGATTTACCAATCACGAACTCTAATCTTCTGCCTTCCTGTATTATAAGCTTAAAATTTGCTTTAACAGCTAAATGTGCCCGTGAACAAGATGGGGGCAACTGCACCGATAAGCATCCAATGTGGTGGTTCAGCCAGACGGAAAACACGTGTAAACCCTTCTACTATTCAGGATGTGGAGGGAATGAAAATCGCTTTGCAACCAAACAAGATTGCATGGACGTCTGTCCGAGTGGTAAAAAATATCATCTTTTATCGCTTATTTTACATAAATTTCAGCCTTCCCATAGGGCGAATATTGTAACTTTTTTTCATTTCAGTTAGTGGATATTGCAAGATGCCGACAAAAATCAATCACAACTGCTCTGAGATTGCATTAAGAGGATCTTTTACTGTAAATAATACAGGCGCAATGTATGTATAATTCAGTTACACAGGCATTAACATTTTTATGTGTCGCATAGGGTCAACTCCAAGATGAGGGATGAGTCGCAGTTACATTTTTTTTTCCTTCCTTTTAATACTCTTTAGTTAAGCGGCCAATATTATAATTATTTACGAGTGTATACTAAAATTAGGTACAATTTAAGAAGTTAAATTACTTTATCAGTGAATGTTAATAATCGTTTTATAGGTCGCGATGCCTCAATGGTTAAACGCACCGCCAAGCATTTCGCTAGGCTTGGGAGGTCCTAGGTTCACAGTCCATTAGCTTCTTGTCTGTAAAGAAATGAAATGGGATATAGGAAAAATTGATTTCATAGTAACATATTAAGGACATTATCTATATGGACATTTTATTTTTCAGGATTAAAACACATGTACATAAAGATCAAAACCAGTGTGAAGTAATATGCATGACGGAGTTGCCTTTGGAGGAAGATATGATTGTCGCTACTTCATATATGGGTAAGTTACGAATTATCTACCCACATTTTGGGTTCCGGACTTAAAGGGAAAAACGGGTACCTACCTATACTTGTACCGAGTGTACCTATTACTCGTTGCCGGTATGTCTGTCATGAAGAAGAAGAACAAAAAAAAACACTCAAAACATAATAAAATTCATATTTAAGTCCTTAACAAATAGAACCCCTTTGTGTACGAGTCTATAGTCTCTGACCAGATTTTTGTTTCAAACCATGAAATATTATTATATCACGTCTTCAATACAGAATTACCACTTGTCATGGCTTGTGAAGACCACATCGACGCGGGCCCTTGCACCCGAGCCGAGACAAGATGGGCTTACAACTCCACTAGCGATAGCTGCGTGCAGTTTCAGTACGGAGGCTGCGGCGGAAACAAAAATAACTTTATTTCTCAAGACACCTGTCAACGCACTTGTTCCTCTGGCGAAGGTAAATTATAATTGGATTTTGACTGGGTTTGCTTAGAAATTTTATTGATTGAACTAACAAGCTGGTCTTGGTGGAAATCGAACACACGACCCGATGATTATACTGCAGCTACTAGCTGTGCCAGCGACTTCGTATGCGTTGAACAGCTATTTTGGGCATCTAAATATCGCTGTTATCCACGGCGTCGGTCGCGTCCCGTCGTTCTTGCAAGTTAATCTTAAGATAGACATAAAGAGTCGCGGGCATTTTTTTAAATATTTAAAAAATAGTGATGTTGGGAATAGCAATATATATACAGAAAGTTTCTTTCTAGTATTCTTAATTACTCTCCCATAGATATTTGTGAATTGACACCAGTCCCTGGGCATTGCACCATCGACCAGAGACGATGGTTCTACGAGCAAAGTTCCGACAGTTGCAAACAATTCGCTGATAACATGTGCGGGGAGAACGGAAATAGGTGAATAATGTATTGAAAAGAGGTATTTAATCGAATCGTTAGTTTCAAAGTACGATCAGCTAAATCAAGCACGCTGAACGAATCTTGCGCAGAACTCCGAAGTCAAAAATAAGGTACCGATTGGACGGAAGCGGGGCGCAGGTTGAGTGAACGTCGTGTGCACGAGCGTTGATAGGTTACCCCGTCGAGTTGTGTTTCTTGGACCAATACGACGCTCAGCTTGCTTCTCCAGTACAGTCACGTTTCCCAATCAATTACGTGCGCGATTATACGGAAACGCAACTATCTCCCTCTACATTTCGTTCAGCTCTAAACATCCGTGCCGCGACCTCATATGTTAACTAATGCTTCCGCTGCTCTTATTTTGTTTGTTGAAAGGTAGGTATACCCTTCTACCCTAGCTTTAAAAATTTTGGTTGAGATGCGCTGTCGAGCTGTTTCTTATTCGACTTTTATTGACGTGTATTTATTGAAAAGTTTAACGTTTTCAGAAATAGGATTTACAATAAATCAGGTTTCAAAAATCATGTAAATAAGTTTAATTTTAAATAGTACACTCGTAATGGTATAAAACGCGAATTTGTCATGTTTATCGAAATATTTCGCGTTTTAAACAGTTAAAAGTATTTTATTTAAATGTGCTTGCATAACTTATGCATTACTTACTTAAAAAGTTTATGGATTGAAAATCTATAATTTTATAACAGGTGCCAAATTTTCTTTCAGTTTTAAAAATTTGGTTGACTGTCAACGCCGCTGCAGAATAGGATTCGACATTATGAACTTATCTGTGGCAGTCAGACCTAAACCACAAATCAAGGTAACGAATTGTCTCCTTTTTCTTTTCATCTCAGTTAGTCACATAGGTCGTTAAAGATTGTAACAGTCGTTATTCATACATACAAAATAAGCAAATTTAGTGACGGTAGTTGTTAAAACTCATTACCCTAGACTAGAACGTGGACAGTATAAGCTTGTAATAATCACTTTCCTATAAGAGAAGACCTGTGCCCAGAAGTGAGATATGAATAATATTATAATATAATCTTTGGGATGGGAGTTGTAGCCCTCTCAGCAAAATTGTTACTGAAATTACAGAAACTTATTGAAGCAAAAAGGCGAGTTATTAAATACAAATAACTTTTTTTATGTCTTATGATTATGATAAAGCAAGGTAGGAAATCGAGCCACGAATATATTAAAAATAACAATTGATACATATTTTCAGCCGTTTATATCTATAATTTGCGATGTCATGGGGAAAGTGGAGGAGTGTCAACGTGCTAGTATGGTTTGGTACTTTGACAAAGAACAGGACGGTTGCGTGTCGTACGAGAATTCGGAGACTGGTAACACGTGCATGGTCACAGGAGTCTTCGCAACGGAGGAACTGTGCGAGAGGGCCTGTGGTGCTTTCCAAGATATCGGTGAGACCCTTTAGGTCTTTCTCTATGTTATGATTAAATATAGAAAAGGAGTATTAAGGCTATTTGGCAATGCGCAAAAACATATAGCGTAATTGCTGTTAAGCAAGTGACGTCACTGACCATATTGCATCGTTGTATAGGCGCGGAATTGTTAATATTAAGTTATACTGTTGGGATTATATTATGTTTTATTAATTGCAATTGTTGTTATTTTTAGTAATGTCTTATAATATGATTTTGTGTGCCTTATATTAGTAGTAAATACATTTATTTCCCTCTCCCTCTCAATTTAGAAATGTTGACTTTTTAATTCGATATTTTTTAGCAAATCTAAACTTTTAAAGTTTGCGGTGTTCCTTCACAAAAATCAGTAAAATAGCTCATTCACAATTATTGACAAAATGTGTACGATATAGTATGTCAATAATCGTAATCTATTTAAAAAAATTAACGATTTATTAACTGCTCTCCAAGTTAAACAGAGATATCATATGCCTCTCAAATAAAGAGTTTTACGTTTGTGTTAATTATGTATCTTCAAGTAATAATTGTTCAATAAAAAGACGACGTACTCTACTTTCAGACGTTTGCAGTTTCGAGAAGGATCCTGGGCCCTGTCATGACTTTAGCCAAAAGGTGTATTACAACAAAGCGACGGATAGATGCGAGAATTTTACGTACGGAGGCTGTCGAGGAAGTCCAAACCGCTTCTCCACTATGAGCGAGTGCGAGTACTATTGCAGACCTGAATACGGTAAGAACTGCTACATTTGAAAACATTATTATTTTTTACATGTTATTTATTGCACATGAAGGCACTATATAATTTAAACATCGAAAATAATAATAATACTCGGTAGCTCAATTGGTAGAGCAACAGCACGGAACGCTGACGATGCCGGTTCAAGTCCTGCCCGAGTCGAAAATGTTTTACAATTTATTTTTCATTTTTAAACTGCTACATTTATCATAAATGTAACTTAAAAGAAATATCCATATAATTCATAGTGTCTATAGTTTACGCGAATGGTACACATTTAAATAAAACACTTTACCTGTTTAAAAAGCGATACCTATTAGTTAAATATATTTTAACTACGGCCCGACGTAACGGATGCTTTGCAGCAGCCGTGGTTACATTATACAATTTAAATAAATATAAAGAATTCATTATAAACTTTTTTTATGAACATTTTTGGGTTCGTTAGTGTAATGATAGCAAGGTAAGACTAATAACCAACTTCACGTCGATTCGATCGCCACCGGGTCGAACAATTTTCTGATCAATTTATATTGTTTCTAAATCAGGTTGGACTTCTGGAAGTCTTTGGAAATCGTCTGGAAATCTAGATATTAAAAAGGGTGGTAGGAATATCTAAATTCCATCAGGGTCACGAACCACCGTTGCTGTCAAGTTTATTCGCGTTTCGGTTTCAGTCTGTGCATTTCCGAACGTCCAAAGCCAAAAAAAGGTCGATAGCGCATCTTTTTTAAATGTTATATGGTTGCGGTATTTCATCCATCATCGAGAGACCCATGCCTGTCTATCTTTTTCTTTCATAAAAATTCTACCAGAAAAGATGTCCTAAAGTATCAAATATACTTTATTCAAAGCTTTAACCGGTAAAAAAAACAATTGGACGAATAATAGATCCCGGGTGCATGCTTTTTTTAGATACAGAAATAATCTGCTGGAAGTGAATACATAATAATAAAACATAAAATTACATCTTGAAAACTATAAGCGTAGGTGTATAAGTCAAATCGTAAAAATATATTTATTATTTCCAGATCCTTGTCAACAGAGACCGGATATTGGAGAGTGCAGAAATACAGAACCCAAATGGTACTTCGATGAACTAGAACGAAAATGTTTAATGTTTCTATACACTGGTTGTGGCGGGAATAGTAACAGGTGGGTAGAAAATCTTGAAGGCTTACGATAATAGATATTAGTAGTAAACACAAGTTTCATAAAATACAAAAACGTCCTCACTTTTGCTTATTGAGGAGTATTGAAAGAGAAATAAGATCGCCCGCCTGGCAGGGGCGAGAGGGACCTCAAGGAAATTTTATACGTTTGGTGAATTATTGTTACGATCTTGAAAGATTTTGTGGTGGTTGGCTCCGAGTACAAGGACATTTTACTGAACAGAATTTTCTTTTTAGATTTAACACAAAGTCTGAATGCGAGACTCGATGTATAAACGGTGAAAGATTCTTTGGCTCAGATTTTAATGAACAGTAAAGGTATTTATCTAACTTTTTTTTATTCAAAAGACAGGAAAAAGTTTGTTGTGAAATAAAATAATAATTCACAAAAGTAACAAATTTTTAAATAAATTTAAAATAACATCCGAGATCAAGAAGGAATTGAAATAATAATTTACTTAGCACAAAGTAATACGTTTTAATTAAGTAGAATTAATTAATTAAATAGAATATTTTTAAAATGTAAATTAAAGTTACTCCGTAAAATTTTCAACAACCTTGTATGAAGTAATTCTGTTTTCTTTCAATCTTATTTCAGCATTTTTATTTTTTAAATAATTAACGTGAAACACTTTTCAGGTACAATATGTCACTTAGTACCGGAGGATTTCACGAAATAAAACAAGTTGTGCTGTAACATAAATTTTTATTTACATCCCAAATTCACAGTCAGTATAACAAGTAGAGGTTTTAAGTTCTGGCAGACATCAGGTACAACTGCGCCTCGCTCTAGCCAGCCTTTGTAGACCCTAAGTAGCGTTATTTTTACTGTGCGTTTTACTGTATGCTGGTAAATTGACGAATAAAATAAGTAAACAGTTATTTCGTTAGTCATATTTGCCATAACGAAACTTTCAGCATTGGGTTTAGAGATTTGGTTCTCATCAAAAAGTAAATAATAACTTATTTGTATTTATTTAATTTAACAGTTTAAAAACGCTTTTAAAAAAGCACAAGTCAATATTTATAAAGTAGTTCATCGTCAGATGCCTCCGGGTGCGGATAACAAACTGTTTAAGCACATAATCGAACCTGCCACAGTCTGCCGTCACAGAATAAAACGAATAAAATGAAAATGGTGCTTCTCAAATGATTATTGTCACGGAAAGAAAACAACGGCTAAGCCCGCATAACGCGATCCGGTCTAATAGCCAAACTATTCGGCGACAATTTTTACAATACAATATAATCTTAAATACAAAAGGTAGAACGCAATAAGTTTATTATATACATAAAATGATAATTTAACATGTCTATATAATACATAGTTATCGCCGAACGCTCGCCCGCTCGACGCCGAGATATGTACACGCGACGTGAGGTATTGAAAAATAAACTATAAATACATAAAGCCACTATTCAAATTTGCGAGAAGATCACACATCGCGCGATAAACGTGTATATTGAGTATGATGCAGTCGTACGCAATAAAATAACTTATCGGCCCCGCGGGCCGTTATAATATCACAATACATGTTAAACTAAAAGTTAAGTCGCCTAAATAAAACGTGCTACAAACGAAACTATTAGAAAAGGTAAAACAAAATAAGAAAACGCCCGCCGCTCGCGAGCGATCAATAAATATATGGACAATCTCAGTTACGCTATCATACATAGGATATCGCCCGCGTCCCTGTCGAAGTAGATGGCCTAAATGCACGGCCCGATCGCGTCAACGTCACTATTTCTCTAGACAGAGCGTCCGCAGTCTAGACGTGTTTAAAACGAGATAAAACATTCGCTTCAGTCGACCGTAAAAGCTCGTCTCATAAGTACACGTGCACGCAGCGTCGCATCGACGCGTCCGTACAAAGCATACGCAAATAAAAAGAACTGGAAACATTATGGAGCGTCTAATCATTTATGGACGACTGTACAACAATACCAACACGAGATCGGAATATCTCGTGAAATAAACAACATTTACATCGCGGCTGGGACCGCCCAAGTTGCGCTTCGTTGACGTATAATGTAGCAAACACATAGATACTGGTAACTGTTTTACGAACTATGTTACAGACTACGCAGGTAGACACGGGTTATGTGAGCGTGTGCCGGGGTTATTTACAAGCACAGATATATGTCGAGTTGGAAGCTCGCCGACTGCCACACCCTGTCCGTATAGAGACGTGACGCACGAGACACTGACTCGCTGCGATGTGTGGCTCAATAGCGAAGGCGCTAAGGTACGTCCTTCGTTAATCAATCCAGGACCTGGGAGTATATTTAAATTACATTAATTTTACATGCTGGATGTCCCTAGACTTATCAAATACCTTTTCCCACAACTTTGACGTTTAATAAAGTAGTTCATGGCAAAGAACGACTTTGCTCAAAGGCGCACTTGGTCATTCATTGAAGTGTCTTTACTGAGTTTATAATTAGACGTTTTCCGGTACCTTGGAAAAAAACAATTCTTACAGCCTATATATTTATCGATAAATGGTCTATCCAGTACAAAACAACCTTCAATTCGAATCAGTTCTTCTTGAGATTAGCGCTTACAAATAAACTCTTCAGCTTATAATATTAGTATAGAGAAATTTAATATATATTTATAGAAGGTTCACACATTAGCCAGACTAATTTTATCATCAAGGTTACCTGCGAGACGATCTTTTCCATGTCGTGATCGATATCAGCTTGAGCCATGTCCGAGGGCGGAGCGGGCGTAGCGGAAGCGGGCGCGGGGGCGGCAGGTAGCTGGAACGGTTCATCGAGGTCCTCGAGTCCAGCAGGGACCGGCAATTTCGCCAACTCCTCTTGCAACTTCACATAGTGACGCTGGGGAAGCATTGAATATGCAGTTAATATAATAAGCACACGTGCAGCGTTTTTCACATTTGAATATCACCATCTGAATAATATACCTTAAGGGCCATAAGATTAAGGTGTATTGTCCTCTGCGTCCGTTCGTCCCCGGTCTGTCCTTCCAGCTCCGTGATCCAGTTGGCAACCGTCTGCATTATTTCATTGCGCTTTATCCAGAAATGTGTTTGTATTACCTGTAAATCATAAACAATATATAACTATCATATATTGGTTATTGTATAATAATAGCAATATTATTTTAGGAAAAAATTTAAATACACTTTTAAAAGTCAATGAAAGTTCATTCAGAGGCAATTTATTTATTTATTAACAAAAACAAGAAACGTTTGTTCCATTCCAACTATAAAATTTGTGTGTCTGTGTCTTGGACAATTACGTCGGTCTCACTCTCTCGTTCTTGGTTTAAAGAGAGAACACAAGAAGTAGAATCTGTTGATTTTTCAAATTGGCTAGGCACAAGTGTTCTTCCATGGTGCACTATTTTTACCTCTTTGAAGCAGGGATCCGGCGAACGCAGGTGGTCAAGCATCGCCCACCGCACGCACGCTTGGTAAATGTTGGAGTTGTACTCGAGCGAGGCGCTATTGCCGACGCTCGTGCCGCGGCTTCGCTCGTATCCCGGTTCGTTGAAATATGGCTCCGGGACTAAGATCAGCGACTGAATTGAAACTAGAACCTGTACAATGGACATAATATTTAGTTAAGTGGCACAAAAAAAAAATGTGTAATTTTTTTTTACTACTAACATAAGAAACATTAAAAAGGGGTTACTTGTAGAAAACTAGATGTGTGCGCGTTCCACTTCTCCTCGGGACGACCATGCCATGTGTTGAGTACGGAGAGGCACACTTTGCCGTCATTGTACAAATTGGGGTTGAACCGTACAGAGTGTCGCCCGGTCGTCTCCAAGTTTATTAGCATCGGTACAGCTGGGTACTCCGCTGGGAAGTACACGTCCAAAACGAAACAGCCGTTCGCGTACGGCGTGTCGGACGGTCCCGTTATGAGAACCTATAACATCAACATAGAAACACTTACGGTTTAAGTAAAATATTGATATACTAAATACGTCGCGAAGATTAACATTAAAAGTGAAAATTATTTATGAGTAACCTTTGTACCAAATGTATAGGAAGATACAGTAACGACTACATAGATACGATGGCTGACCTATCAAAATCCTATTTCCACGGCTACGCCAAAAAAAATTAAATCAATGTCGTTGTTTTAGGTTTTTCGTAGATGTAGTTTTGTCCCGAGGAATCCCGTAAACAATGCAACTTTCAAAAATGTTCCTCGTGGAAGAGAGTAATCACCTTCATGACGTCTAATCTATCTGTGTCAGTTCGCACGAAGACTGACGAAGAGTAGGAGAGCGGTAGGCTAGTGGCTAGCGTGGCAGCCTCCTGAGCCAGTCGCTTCATCCGCGCCGGATGCGTCCGCTCGCCCGCGGCGCGTACCGTCGCCTCAAAGTGATATGGAACAGTGAAACGGAACCCGCCGTCCGGCTCTTCTGCTATCATCTCAAATGTCTCTGCAGAAATAATATGATTTCAACTTCTATGCAAAACTGATATCTAGTCATTTAGCCCTTTTTTTCTAGTTTTAAGTAAATATTGTGCTCAATTTTAACGAACAAACTTCTACTATACTATAATTGAAACATTATTATACAATAATTCATTAAATAATAGACCATCCATAGATAATATAAACACGAAGATAACTATAATCGATACATCGACTCACCAAATTGCATAGTGCGCATAAGTTCTATATAACGTGCCTCCCTGCTGCCCTCGCGCATAGACCGCGCCACGCCCACATTCTCCGTCTCGCTCTCAGACCGACACATAAGTGCAGATGTCGCCTGTAAGACGAATTTATGTAACTTTTGCAAAAATTTCTTAAAGGTCCTCTGATAGAGGCTTTAGTGTACCACATTGATAATAATAATAAATGCACAGGATATTATTTCGTACACTCTTGGTAATGACGAAGGTGGGTTAACGTACAGAGCAATAGTTATACTAAATAAGGAATATTAAATTTGTTTATTTATTATACAAGAATCACCTGAATATCTGCAATGAGCGAGGCGAGCCCTTCGTCCTCTTCCGATAGTTCTGAATTACTCGATGTGCTAAACCTTTGGCTATACGTCATTTTTCCGAATATATTCTTTTTACTCATCCTAAAACATAATGTACAATTTTTTATGTATTCTACTGTAATTATATTATCTTAAAATTCCTTTATAATCAGATTATCATTATAGCTATCAGATCCGATAGAGATTATACCTCAGACAATAAAATGGTATCAATTTATTTATTGCTTTCATTTTTATTTTTAAATACATTTAAATTTATTTGTTAAATTTTGAATTTTTTTTATCTGTCAACGAAGTTAATATGTCAATTGGTCCCTTGCCTTAATTTAGTAGCATAAGAGTTAGTCGTTCGGCTCATGCTGTGCAGCAATGCAGGCAGGGGCCTCAGCGAACGGGCCAGCCGCCGACACCGGAGAGACGCAAGCGAACGCGCCACGCGCAGCACGCATACGTACAGCGGTATGTGTCGCGACATGTCAAGTACTGGAAACAAATTTCAATAGAGCTATTTCTTCTGGGCAACCCTTGTTTTTTTAAATTATTCAACATGATTCACAGATCCAGCAAAATATTCGTAGCACGATTTAAATTAGGAATAGAATATATCTACATTTAAAGCAGAAACTTAAAGAATGACAATAATTAGGAACCATTGGATATTATTAGGACTTCTTCCAAAGGAAAGAAATATATTATACGATAAGTCTGTCAGCAGAGCTTAATTGTAAGGTCAAAGACAAATAAAGAGAGACTAAAACAGTTAAGAAACATAAATAATTACCTGAGTCATTCCTAAGATACGAGCAAATTGCTGGTAGAAGTGAGCTATTGGCGACAAGATCAATAAATTCCTGAGGAAGGTGCTGCGTATCGCCTTCTTCCGTCTCCTCTAATTCCTGAGCTTCTTGTGAACCTTCTTCTGGGGGCCATTTCTCTCCTGGATTCATATACGATGCTAACACCTGAAATTTTTATTATCAGTTACGATTTTCTACAATTTGGTTGAGGTGTTTGTGTAATGGTATTATTTAGATGTTTTTACTATCTCGTAACTTACAGTAAGAGTCTTCATCGTGAATGCTTACCTGCAGCAGTACAGTGACGTGTTCCTCCTCTATCCTCTGTCTAACTAAAGCTTGTTCCACGTCCCACGTCTGCTGCGTCGACCCAGTTCCAAAGCCTGTGCCCTTCGCCCAGTAAAGTTGCGCTTTGTCCTCTTTGCCTGTGCCGTTTGACGATTGGTTCTGTTTGGGGAACATCAAAGGTTACATAAATTATTCTTTTTTTAGTCGAGTTAGTAAACAAAATATGTTCTTTTATATTACGTTACAATTGTCGTCTTAGCTGACATAACTATTATTAGACTTAAAGTGTATTTTTTCTAACTTGGCAAAAGACCACAACAAATATGGCCCATTTCAAACCATACGGAACTAAAGATGACCTTTTATAGAGTGAAGTTGTTGCCACAGATAACACAGAGCTAAAAAATGGACCTCCATATTTAAAATCACTCAAGACGTCCTTTTTTTATTATTGTTTAACCCAACGTTTGTAACGCTTTTCAGCGATCGTGCATAAGTGGGACTACCTTCTATTGTCGTTGATTTTGCTTACATCTTTATCTAAATGTCAAGGTAAAAAAAATAATTTGTGCAGTTACCTAAACTCATTTTTAGGATTTTGTATTAATTTTAGCATGAAGTTTTTATTTTTACTAAGTGTAATTTGAGTAGGTCATTGTTTAAGTATAATTTGCTAGCATTTTTAGTATAAATCAATGTAAAACTTGTGGGAAAATCACAAGTTCATATTAATTGTTCTTAACTTTTTCGAAAAATGCCAAGTTAGAAATAATACCCTATAGACGTTCTGATGTAAACAAACGCTTTACACCAACCATACTAGAAGCTGGTCTATGATGCGTGAACACAGCGAGACAGGCGAGAACCAGCCGCACAGCGCCAAGGTTCAGCAGAGTGTCTCTTAGAGCACGTCCCTCCGTGCCGCGGCCGCTCTCCTCCAGCAATCTGGCGACTACGCGGAATGGCAACGTGCCGAGCGACCAAGTACCACCGCTGCTACTGCTGCCACTCACCGCTATGCTACCTGCAGAATAAAATTCTTCAATGCATTTATTCAATTATTGGAATAATAGAAATATTTTCAGTGTAAGCGCAGTTCACTAACACAAGTACAAAAACAAACAAAAAAGTTTTGCTTGGTGGGCCTTGATATACTTTATTGAAAGTAATTTATTTCGGTTTGACGATTAATCGTTTGCGATTGACTATGGTATCGTTTTTGTTTTACGTTTTAGAAATAAATATGTCAACATTAAGCTAATATAAAGTTATTATGAAGGCAAATCGTTTCTTGTTTATTTATCTTAGACGATTACCATTCAATACAACTGAGGGAAATTAAATAATAATAATGTAAGAATCCGTCCACGAAAAGCCCAAGTTTTTTTTTAATATTTGTAGTAAAAGCAGAGTAATATATGGGTATAGAACTCACGTCCGTCCTCGTCATGTGCAACACCCAGTAATAACCGTAATAAATGTACAGCCCTCGACCCCTCTTCAAGCAACGCGTGCGCATATCCACGAAGCTTAAGGAGTAAAGCGAGAGCGACGAGCGCATGCGACGGCACTCCGGCGCACGCGCTGCTCTCTTCCGACGAACCGTTCCCGCCGTTCGCGTTGCACGCTGATGTTAGGCCCAAGTCCACAACCTCCTGACATAAGAATTAAGCCATGAGAGCAAAATAAACTTTAACTAACTTAGAAACTAAATCAATATAAGATTATCTGTATTTCAAGTGTCTGTAATATTAACATGATTGTGTGATACGAGCTACTATCAAATCATGCTAACGCATTATATTGATTATTTTTTTAAACTCAAGAAGCTTTGCATAACGCCCGCAAAAATCCTAAACAATATATGAGAAATGACACGTTTTAGAAATTCTAAACGTGCTTTAATACAATCTTGTTTTAATAAAAATACAAATATGGTATTTAAAAAATGTGTGTAGCAATATAGTATTTAAGAGGTAGGTTTTCATTAGGTCGAGTAAGTAAACTAAGTAGGTAAAGTTTCCAATAAAAATAGAATACAAGATATACAGTTTGCAGTTCACCTCATATGGATCATCCAATTTCACCCAGTCTAGGTCATGTGTGTGATGATGCGTGGTTGGGGGCGGCGCAGGCGCAGCATGTGGGCGCGGCAATCTCGCTGCGACCAACGCTAGGCCGCCGCAAGCACCGAACTCGCGAAGCACTGCACCACCGCTACCATTATTGCTGCTGTTGCTACTAGACCCACTAGATTCTGGTATGTTCGTCCCTCCGCCGTCCCACATTGGGCCTGATGATGATTCTGTTATATAGAAATGTAAAATTCAATTGCGTAACATTGATACCCGCGAACTGCTAAGTACGAGTTACGATTATTTTTAAGCAAAACAGACGTCGTTAAACAATATTAGGGGGCAAATATCGCAAAAAAATTGTTATCCAAGCAGTATAATACGTATAAAAGAAATAATAATCTCTCCTAAAAGACTTTGTTAGTTTTAAGGATGGTATTATATAATGTACCTTGACCGCCTCTGTAGCGAAATGTATATGTAACGTATTGCCTAGCATTGCGTTAAGCGCGAGAGGTCCTGAGTTCGAATCCAATTTTATGCCGAAACATAAAATTGTTTCGGTCAGGCAGGGCACAGAAGTCTGATCAACTACTTGTCCGTTAAAAGAACGGATCAGTGAAATGTACACAGAAATGTGTTCGCCCCATGCCCCACGAGGGGGAAATGGGTTTTCACACACATATAATGTACCTCCTGTAGTATTCAGATGTAAAGTCAGCGTGATATGTGGCCCGAACTCGTGCGGCACGGCGGCGCACAACTGCGCAAGTGTGGTACTTCCTGGAATATAGCCTTCTATTCCATGCGCTTGCACGCGGATCGACGATTCTAACAATTCTGTAAAAAAGCATTCAATTTATTTATTTACTTAGGAAACTAAAAAGTCCTGTCTTGTATGATAACTTAAAACTAATATTCTTATTGTATAGGGAAAAAATTTTTTTTTCATAGAAATCTAAATGTATGTAGGCATGTACTCAGAGACCTTTACAAGTTTCACTGAGAACATTTGATTTAAAAATTAAAAAAAAGCTTTGAGGCGAGAAACAGTGTCCTCCACAATATAACAAATACCGTATTCTTGTATAATTAGATATGTGTTATATCTTTATAAGTTAGGAACTTCTTTAATCTTATATTTATACTTTAATTGCGAGCACGAAAACAAATCAACATCATTCAACGCGTTATTATGCAATGAAACCATAAATGATGGAGGGGGGGGCCCGTTTACCAGTGTTACATCTAGTCGTTGGGACATAGAATAAGTTTTTGGTAAGGGTAGATCGAGCGGGGATGTGGAAGTAAATCGGGACAATTTCAGTACTAGTATGGTTATTTGAACCCTTACAACTTCTGTTCCACTATGACTAACTACTTTGCAACTATACAATCGGCTTTAAATTTGATATCTCACATCCCTTGTGTATTTAATGTTTCACTAATCACTTATTTACACGGAACTTACTTAGGCGAAATAAATTTTCCTCCACGTTTTAAGCGCGAGTGCCTCTTGCGCTTGAACGCAATCTAGATCAATTGATACCATTGGCCTGGTGGGCACCGGTTTAAACAAGCACAACGAATTTTCTACAACCTATTCTTGACCCAAAAAGTATACACAATAAACGTATATACTTTATATACAAAGAAAAGGCGTGAAATTTTACAATAATAATAAATTTAAAAAATATATACCTTCTGTAACAGCGAGGCCTAGCGGATCGACGCTAGGTTTGTTTTGTCGCTTTTTAGTAGTCTGTTGTTTAAGCGTGGTATTCTTGACGTCCTTCACTCTTTTATCCTTGGAAGCACTCGCAGCCGCTAGGGACAGTTCCCATGCCTCCGCTACAGTCATGATGGCCGGGTCAGACGCGCTCCGAAGTACAGCCGCTCCAGAACTGCTCGGTCCATGAGAACTCTTGCTGCCCTCTTCCATCAAAGGCACTATTTCGACAAAAAAGGACAGTACTTAGTAGTTAGCACTTTTTATTTAAGGTAATCATTGAACATTGTAAAAAAAAACTTCTACATGATTTGAAAAGCGAAACATTTTAATTAACATATTAACAATTAATTTAACTACGGCCCGAAGTTTCTGATATTTTTATGGCAAGTTATAAACTGTTAGTGTTTTTTTTTGTTTAATGTGTACAACTCACATAAACTACAGACAATACTTAAACATTTAAGTAAAAACACTACTAACGATTTATAACACGATGTGCATTATTTAACTTAAACATAACAACGATGCGAAGTTTGCAACAGATATTTTGCAACAGTCGTGGTGTCCACTGTTTTAAAGGGTAAAACATCATTTTCTGTTTCATTATGTAGTGCCTACTTTAGATACAAATTTGAAAACTAATCCCTTTATATAATATTTTTCTATCTCTTCTTTAATACTTACAGGGCGGTCGATGATCTGCAAGAAGTGTCTTAACTGTCGTATGCAACGGTAGATTCAGTAACGCGTGAGCTCGCGCAGCAGGATGACAGGGCGCCGGCGGGGCGGGTGCTTGAGGTAGGGTGGCGGGAGGAGTACCACCACTGGCCCATCGCAGCGCAACTGTGGCTCGTTCACCCGATAGCACCAGTCGGACGATTAAGGATCGTGTGAAACCGGATATACCTTCTGGACCTGAAGATTTAACGTGTGATTTAAGGTGAATAATAGACATTTAATTGGGGTATAGATTTAAACAGTAGTGGTTATGAAAACCTTTAGAGATGCGCCCAGTAACACTTTTGTCGAGTAGCGAGTACCGAGTTTTACTCGGTTCAGGCTTTTTAACCGAGTAACTCGGTCCAGTCAAATTTCACTTTGCACGCGTAAGCATGTGCACAAATTGTAGTTCGCGCCGGTCAAGCTCGCTCTCATCTTCTCGTAGTTTTGTCTCATTAACTATTCATTCATTAGCATAGTTTTGCATTAGCATTGTATTATGTAATTGAAATTTTCAAAGATTTTCTAAATTACTAATCAATACTTTTGGATTACCACTGTTGTTTTAATTAAATCCAACTCAATATATTGTTTTTCTTAAACAAACTATACTTGTTAATTAATAACAAAGTATAACCGAGTACTCGGCCCATCTCTAAAAACTTTTATATGTTTCACATGTTATTGCGCATAATGGCACTATATAAATTTAAACTTGATTTGAAATAAATTTACGACACGTTCTGTGCTACGTCCACAGCGTTCCGACGTTAATACGTAATGGTTAAGGTCGAATTACATTGCGCGAAGCGTGCATGTATAAATAGGTTGAAAAAATTCGACAATGGCATGTAGGACACGCTAGCGCAATTGGTTAGAGCAACAGCACGAAACGCTGTGGATGCTGGTTTTATAACCTAAAATCGATTTTTAATTTAAGTGGTTATTATAATATTTATGTGGTAATTTATATAACGGTAAATATATTAAAATTAATGTTTTCTACCATTATAGGGTATCCAAAAGTATAATTACCTGTGCAGTGCATTGAGTCCAATATATTACGTAGTGTTGAAGCAAACAATTTCTGATTGTGGGCGTGGCAGACTGTCAGCTCGGAGAAAAGGCGTATCGTGTGCTCTTCGAGACGTGCGAACTGCGTCATTTCGCGCCATGAACTGGTAATAATAACTTAAATATAAGCTAGGAATATTTTAAAGAGTTGAATTGACATGAAACTACCTATTAACTTTACAATTTGCTAGTTAACGACTTTCAGTTAAAAACTGTCATTTTTTACATTTAATATTCGCTTAATAATAACATTCGCGATTAAATACGTATTATTCAATGTTTGGCACAATATATAACATAAATTCTTTTATACCTTTCTGTCGGCCTGGGATGACACAAAAGTTTTAGCAGCGGACTCCAAAACCCGGAGCCTGCACAACCTAGCCAGTCTTTGAAACGTCGCTCTGCACAAACCAGCCGGGCCCATTCTATTATATCGCATACCGTCTCCATTGATAACCCTGATGAATTATATATTTATTGAGAAACACATAACATACATATACAAACGCAAACTCTTTGCATACTTTGCGCATGAAAGTCACATATTTTGGTTGCGTAGATTGAAACTCAGGCGGAAAAGCACTTCCAGACACATCCCTCTAACGATATAAACGTTCGAAAAATCTTACCTCCTTTCAAATCTCTGTCACCCAAATCTGTCATGTGAATGTCTTCTTGCGAATCACTTTGAGAAACAATTTGATCCAATTTCGCTTCACAGAAATCTGCAAGAGGTCGTTATAGTTATTCGTTTATATGTAATGCTCCTTTTTTTAACAGATATACTTTAACTTACCAGCGACAGCTTGCATAAGAGCAAGCGGGAGCTGTGAATGCAGAAGAGTCAGCGTACACGCCGGGGACATAGCGGCAGCAGCTATACTAGTCAACTGGCGGTGTCTCAAGCGACGCGCCGCGGCGGTGCCCGCCCAACCGCTGCCCACCCAGATGCCGCTCTCTCCGGATATAGAGGCCTGCATCGGACGACGGACTTTTGTATCGTCCGTTAGTCCTTCCATACTGTAGGAGTAATAAGTTTTATAAATTAAAAAAAAAACATAGTATTTGTGCCATAACCTGTAACAATACGACGAAGAGAAAATCTTAAAAAGTATTTTAAATACATCATTATTGGTACTCCTAACCGCAGTCTGTTAACACGTCTGTTACATAGCATTGCGTCAGGGGTTCTTGGCTCAAATCCCAGGTTTATAACTAATTAGTTTAGTCGGGCAAAGCACAGAAGCTTGATCAACTGACAGCTTGTAAAAATCCGATGCGTGCATCGAAAACAATAAAATATGGTCGCCTCGTGCCTCATTTTAAACAAAGAATTACTTATTACTGATAGTTCTGGATTCTGAGAAAACATCTGACGAATTATACTAATTAGAACATACCTCTCATCAGTGTCCATTGGTATCTCCATGCGTTCGAGAAGCATTTTGAAGAGTTCCGGCCGTAGGTAGCATATAGAGCACATGACTGCATCCAGAGATTTTTTAAGTAGGCTAACTTCATTGACATCCTTAACCCATGTACATATCAATTCGAAAATGTCATCCGTTATAAGTTCCTCTATGTTATCGAGTAAATTCTCTTCTTTAGTACTCCATAATACCTGTTGAAATGTTTAGGAAATTAAAAGCGCGTCATTTACAAACCATTAATTAAACATTTAAATTATTGTATGACATTTACACTGGTACAATTGAATCACTATTGCGACTATTGAAAGCGTAACTTACTGCAGCAAGTGTATGTAATAAAGCAGCAGAAGGCGCAGCGCGAGTGCGCAGAGCCAGCTCAGCAGCGCGCTGCACCCAACGTAAGAAAGCTTGTATGGTGCCAGCCGCACAGGTGCGACATAACGCTTGAATCAAGCCACAAACACCACTCATGCTGTTCGAACTCACGCCTGCACGTGCAGATTGGAATGCTGTAACCACATTGATAATAACATAATTCATTGCATAAACTTCGACAGTGTCCAAGAACGGGCTGTAAATTAATATTAGACGTAACTCATTAATAAAAAGTATTTCAATACCAACCGTAAGCATGGGCATGCGCATCCAAGTCCAAGAGATGGTTCATTAGCGGTTCCCGTAAAACGGGTTGAGTCCGGGCGGCAGACAGGAGCGCGAGGTGGGCGTGATGTGCCGCTGGTCCGCCAGCCAATAGTGAGCCGCACAGCGACCGCACTGCACTGGTGATACCGGCACTTATCGAACCATGGCCGCGTACACATGCGCAGACGACGCTTGTCCAGTTGTTTCTAGACAAAAATATCATTAACTCACAATAAGTAGACCACACAATTGCAATTTACTACAAATAAAACGAGCATAAATAGCTTTTTACAAAAATAACTATCCTTTGAAAAACTTTGTGCCCTCATCAAATAAAAAAAATAACCTATTGAGGAAAAATACCATTGGATAACTTTTTTAACACAGTATACAAGTACACAGCTAAGACAGCTAGACATAGTACACAGCTAATCAGTATTAATGAAGACTTACCCGCTCGTATCATGAGCGTACGTCGTGTTATGTAAATCTTGAGAGGGCGGTAGCGTGGGTAGTGGTGGTTGTGGGGCAAAGGGTGGAGCGGCCAAGAGTCGAAGTTGCAGCAGGCCCATATTTGAAGAGTCGCGGGGACGATACAGCCTCAGTTGCACGGTGGTGCAGACCACAGGTCGAGCAAGCACCAACCGGATAAACGTCATGCCGGCAGTGCTTTGTGGCGGTCCCAGCGGAGCCAAAGTGCCCCCGCAGCCAGCTTCAACTCCAACCGCGCCGGGGCAAGCTGTATAAGAATTCGTTTTGTTACGTATTGTTGAAAAAAAGTCCAAAACAAGGAATTCTAAAATCATAGGGTACGTTTTAGAACATAATAAAGTGTAAATCATGCGATACTGACTTGCCAAACTAGTGAGATGGGGTTGCAAATGCACTTCATGTAACCGTGCTGCATAGGGCAGGTGTAGCGAAAGTGCCAGTGACGCATCATCAGCACTGAAGAAATGATAAGACCAAGTAGCAGCACGGACGCGACGCGCCGCACAACCTCCTGGGCCGGTCCCACGAGACCCCTCCGCCCCGCCTCCCAGCAGCACGTCAGCCGCTTGGGCCGTAGGATTGCCGCACGTAACTGTACCTGAAAAAATATTGATTTATTATAGATTTAATGATAAGAGAAATATTTATTCAACCCTTGGATTTAGATAAAATTTAGAACACATACAGAAAGGTGCGATATTAATAAGTCCATCTGTAGCCTCCATGACAGGCGGTTGCGATTTTTTGCTGCTCGACGATGCCGGCGTGGAGAGATTGATCAGCTGTGGTGGAAGCTTCAAGTGGTTCATCAAAGACGACACCAAGCCTTGGCTGTTATTTGGGCCAGCCTACAAACCAAACACTTTTAATTAATTTCTCGTCACAAATTAGGAAAATGTAATAACAATAATATTTGCTCCTTTAAAAACTACTTATCTATGTATGCATATAGTCGGTTTCCACGTACTAATATTAGAAATTAATCAGCCCAAGACATGCACTACTTTGACTTTCTTAAAGGTTCTCATTCCATATTGGGTGGTTTGGTTAAAGTAATTAGGCTTTGTTTAAATATACACAAATAATAATTACCTGGTGACATGCGTTCAGTTTCTTCACAGCCAGCTCCATGCCGCCGGCGTCTATGAAAGCTGCCAGCAGTTCCGGTTTGTCTAATAATCGTTGAAGCAACTGCTGCATCGCCTGGGATAAGTTCACCACCTCGTCTTTTGCTGTAGGTAATAGAAATAGTTTACATAAGTATACGATAGGTTTTAAATATTGACGAATTTTAGGATAGACCAGAAAACAATTTCCAGATATTAATTTAAAATTAGAAAAATTGTGCACACAGATAAACTTTGCTACATTTGTTTTCTGAAAAATAATTGATATCAGAAAATGTAGTATATTTTTTTAAATAATGGCGTGGTATTCCATTGCCATTAGAAACGAACATAGATATCAGAACCCCAAACTAACCAAACTCCCCAAAGCGGGACACGGGATTTTACTGTTATAAGTACGTACGAAAAGAGCTATTTCCTGACATAATAAGTTATAAAACTCACAGAGGTAGTCAATAAGAGATGACAACATAAGCGAAGGATCGGATGCCACGGCGGGTATATGCGCAACCAGCCAGAAAATCTCCTCCTTCAGTGAACATTGCTCTGAACTGCTTTCCACATTACCACCTGCAAAAGCATTTTTTAGCACATACTGTATATATAATAATACACTTGGAAATATCTATTGAAATTTAAAACTACGATTACACGCACTTGAATTCAATACCATGGTGGTCATTCCGTCGCACATAGACAGCGTTTTGTAGAATTTTTCCATAATCGTGGGGTGTTTTAGTACTGAAAAAGAATAAGTACATTTAATTGTAGCTGTTTTCCGTTATTATGACGTATATGCAGCTGAGAGAATTAGTAAGAGAGAAATAAATACATAACAGACTCATTTCATATCCATCGTTTATTTACCTTTATCAGCGAGACACGGTGGTCTTGGAATGTGTTTCCTTTCATCCTCGACATTTGTGTCGTCCTGCCCGCTTTGCTGCTGCTGTTGCTGCTTGCTCTCGTCGGTCTGACATTCCTCACTGCCTGATACGCTGTCCCCACTACTACCGCTCGTCACACTTTCGGGACTTGGAACGGACTGTGAACGAGTAAGAAGATAATATAAGTATAAAATAATATGAAAGTGGTGTTTGTCACATTGACATAAAATGTCTTTGACATTTCATACCTCATCAGCGCGCTCGGCACGTCGATGTGGCGGCAACGGTAGAGCCAGCAACTTGCGACAGTACAATAATAACGAAGCCAAAACAGCACGTCGGTGAGGCGGACGCCTAGCAGCCCCTGCGCCCGCCAAGACGTCTGCCAGCAAACCTCCGCCAGTGCTGCTTGAGCCAGCACGTGTATCGCTCCAAGCGCTAGATCCCGTCGCGCTTGAAGAACCGCCTTCAGACCGCCAAGCACCACCCCACCATACCCATGAGCTGCATTGATCGGCTGTAATTGAAACAATTTTAACATGTCAATAAAAAAACTAACTCTATACAATCTACTTCCTTCTTTCCATCAAATTATAAAAGAAAGAGATAAAATATAAAGAATAAATTATATAACTTCATTCACACAATGAGTTTGAATAAACGAGTTTCTTAATCAAACTAACCGATGGCTTCGATTAGCGGTAACGCGTGACGCTTATGCTTCGGCGCCAAGGCGGGCAATAGCGAATGCGCAGCCCTGAGTAGGGCAGCGTGCAGGTCAAGCGCATTGTGTGTGTGGGGCGTGCGCCACAATGCCGCCAACGCCCGCAAAGTGCACAGGGCCCCAGCGGCGCCTCGAGGCACCACTACGCGAGAGATAACGGCTTGAAGCGCTGCCGCGGCACCTGCGCCGGCGCCGAACGTGCTGCCGCCCTGCAGATAAAACAACAAAATTGTCACCATCGCTTTACTACGGGTTTATTTATATACAAAATATTTTTAAAATACTTAATTATAAGGCATATTTTCCCTTATTGTAGTTAAGATTAAGATGCGATTCGTTTAAATGAACATACCAAATATGGTTCCGACGACACAACAGCGCCATCTGCAGCGATGTCAATGGAAACGAACTTGACTAGCGCTGGGACAAAATATTCACATTCGAGTATAACTCGGCCCATTGTTTGCGTGCTGCCTTCGGTCTGTGAAAATCATTAAAGGTACAAAACAATTTTGCTAATATTAATTTAAATTGACTTATCACAAGCTGTAATTACCTGTAATGGTAGACTTGCGACCCAGGCAAGTGCCTGCATAGACAGCACCCAGCAACGTAACGATATGTTTTCTAATCTGCGGGGAAGATATTAGTACCACTATTTTAAAAAAATGTCTTGAGAAATTGTCAGTAATATGTTTTTTGTAGGGACAATGTAGTTTTCTAGTTTACTTATTCCATTTTTCAATTTTAGAGTATTGTACTTACTCAGTTAGGGAGGCAAGGAGTGCCGTGACAGTATCGGATGCCAGACGGATGCGAGGCGCGTCCGCGGGCACCGTCAATGCTGCCAGCGACCACGCCCCACCTCCGTTGTTGCCCCACGAAGAGCCATTTAACGTCAACCACAGTGACACTACGTTCTCCATAAACGTACAGTCAACCTATACAAAAAAATAGGATTTTAATAAATACAAAATAGTTTTCTTTTTTAAAATTATTACCAGTGAGATCTGTCCTAACGATAAAGACAATAAAAAAATGCGTGTGCAGAAAAATACCTGATTTTTAAATTCCAACGCAAGATGTCTGAACACGTCGTAGAGCGTATGAGCAAGCGGCGGGTTATGCCTGTTAGGTGGGGAGGCGGGGGATGCCGGTGAACCGGGTGATCCGGGCGATAATGGTGACTGTGGGGATGTAGGGGCAAACGGGGAAGGATTTGGGCGGTGAGGCGGAGCACGTAGGGCAGCCGGGAGCGCCAATGCCGTGGCTGCAAGCACCCGCCGCGCGGACACTTCGGCCGCCGCAGCTGGCCCGCTTTCTAAGCGCGCGTCGACACACGATGACAGACTACTATAAAATAATCATTCCTTCAGTACACTCCTTTGGTACCACTTCCTCCTTGGTAATTAATTTCTGCATATCCTAAGTGAATTATTATTATATATTAAAAGTGTGTTATATATTTTAAATTACCCTTACCTAGTATTTAAGTCAACTGTCTGTTTATTTCTTGCTTCCTTCTTGGCACTGTTGAACAGGTACTGGTCTAATTTCTCATCAGGCTCCGAGTCATCAGATTCAATTAGTTGAGTCAACTGGTACTCCATGTAGTAATTAAGTTCTAAGACAAGTGTTTTTAAACATTTGAATTACATTTTATATATTTTTATATCTGAAAAATTAGATAAATTAATAATACATTTCCTTGAAAGATTTTAACTGCGACCTAATGTTTGGTTCCCTATTTAGCAGTACAGTAATGTGCCTTACTCTCGCAAACTTAAATGATCATTCAATAAGATTAAAATTTATATTTTTAATCAAGAATTTATTTCAAAAATTGATACTATGTCAAAGTATTCAAAACTAACCTTTTATCGGCGCCTTTCCGAAGTTGGGCTCCACGGTTAGTTTGTTTTTAGGGCGTGACGAGCTGGGCCCCAGCCACTCCTCACTGGTCGCCCTTGCTAGAGGTTCTCCACTTTCGTACTCGACAAGGTCCTACACAAGATATAATTGTTAATAACATATCAATAGACTTTAGTTTTAGATATGTTGAAACATATACTTGCAAATGATTGTTTGAGGGATTTTTGTATTGTGTACCTGTAACAGCGCAGTAAGAGCATGTCTTGGCCAGGGAGGGAGCGTAACTGCGCGTCGAGCCAAAGCTAGTACTCCACCAGCATCGCCCCAACCACATCCGCCACATAGAGCACACACGCGTCCGACGACCTATATAGATCGAAAATAAATTATGAATAACTAGAACCGAAATACTTTAAATTTGGTTATTGCTAAGTAAATTTAAGATGAATTTTAATATGGCTAAGACATATAAAGTTTGACTAACAAGTTTCATTCATAAATGATTTGGTACACGACCGAATGATCAGTTTACAAAATCAGGCGATTCACTTTAACTTCAAGATAACTTCATTATAAGATGATTCTCACAGTACGTTACAGATTTTACACAAGATGTTTAAATTACCTTAGCACAAAGAAGTAGGTGATCTGCTGCAAGCGTAGAGTCAATCGTGAGGACGTGCGTTAAGAGCGCTTGCGCCAACGCGGAGGCAAGCACTGGGCTGATGATGCGAATGTCGTCTGCCACTCGAACAGCAGTGCTGCCGCTGCTGCTTCCCGCTCCGTTTGCGCTGTTCGGCCGCTTGCCCATCATTGCTAGGTGCGTTTTTAACGTTATACGTGCACGCTGCAAGAAACCAAACAAAAGGAAAATTATTATGCGCTTTACTTAGTTTTACCTTTTTTTGTAATTTAACAACTAAATACGCAACTCATGATATTAAAAATGAAAAAATAACATTTAAAAACCTCTACGTTGACAAAAGTAATAAGGTGTTATATGGACGCACCCTTAGCAAATCGCAAGTAAGCAGCTGCCCCGTGTACTATTGCAACATCGTTCACACGAGGCAAGAATGCAACGTTGACGGAAAGAGGTAGCGACGAACTCAAAGGAGGCCGGTGCCATCCGACACTGCGTTTTAATGGGAATCTTCCACATTTCACAATTACTTCTTTTAAACATTATTACTGTGTCTCGGTCATTCCATATCTAGCATCGATAGGAACTAGACTAGTTTCTTTAGTAGTAAATTTAAATTGTAATTACATAAGTTTTATTTTAATTAAATTACTTTGAATTAATTTTGGTTTTTTTTGGGTCCTCCGGCGGCGACATCCATAATTGGCGCAGTCGGTAGGATACTCAAAAAAGCTTCGGTGGTTAGATTTTCTAATATCGATAGTCACTTTCACCACCGTAAGCGTAGGGTATCTAAAAGAACCGGGTGTCCCGGATCGGAGGATAAATCCGAACATTGAT